ATACAACACAACAGAAGAAACCGACGGAGTCAACCGATGAAGATGGCCGCGGGTAAATTCTGTGCGATGAGTGTCATGATAAACTCTGCAGAAAGAACCAGTGAATGTATTGTAGATAAATGATAGGGTATCCCATATTGTCTAATCCATTTTGCAATAGCTTAATCATTTCATAGCTTAAAGCTTATATGATTGTCTAATAATTTGAATATTCTATCATTTTACACAGGCCAAGTAACTGGGGCAATAACTTATTCATATTTAATTTAAATTTTACTTGGTAGGATTCTCTCATTCTTTGTTTTTCCAAGTCTTATATGTATTTTACACTACTTGTTAATACTTGAAAACGTATGACTAAAGTATGTATTAAGTTGTTCATTTTTCTTTCCCTCAATATATGGCCAGATCCGGCCTTTTCCAGTTGCAAATAGAGTTGCGAGCCTTCATGCTGTATAATATATATATATGGCATTTCGCTCGTATTTTGGCAGATGTTTTTTTTATCCCCACACACACGACCTTTGTATAATTAATTGAGTGTTTCTAACTGGACTCGTCGGCGCTGGGGGTCAAGCTATAACGACAGAAAACTTCTCTGTGTCCGTCCGTTTGTTTCTGTCCACGTTTCATTGATGAATTTTGACAGATTCTTAAGTTTTGGGTTAATGGATTGTGAGCTTAAAAAGAACAGCAACAACAGCAACATACATCTTTATATACATGTAGATAAGCTCATTTTCATACATATTTACAGAAAACGTTGAACTAGCAGCAGACGGTGAAAATGCAATTATGTTTGGTTTTTTTTTGGCACCTTTTAGTCATAGAAACTTGTCTTAGTCATGTTTTCAAGTCAAGTTTTAAAAACGTATATTAGTTTCATGTTTTTTGAAAGGTAACATAGCTGGATATTAGACGATTGCATGACGCATTTAACATTCCTTTTGCTGGCGAATTCCTTCGAAAAACCCTTAACAACGATATCTAACAACATGCAATTAAACACACAAACACTCTTATATTTAATACCGTTATGTGCCTAGGCGAGGCTCAGCTGTCCATTGCCCAGAGCGCATGTCCCTTTTCAAACAAAAAAACGTTGACTTTTAAGGCAACGCGCTCGCCGCCAAAATCCCAAGTCCAGATCCAAATACTGGCCTGGCGCATGTTAGACACAAGTCTGTAGTCGGGCAGCAGTAAAGATGCCACGCCCCAGACGCCAATTATGTTTGGGGCCCCGCCAAGGATGCGCCGCGAGCACAGGATATGCTCAAACTGCTGCGCGTTGTAGTAGCCGCCGGCGTCTAACAAAAAAACCTCAAAATAAGAATTAATAAAAGCATACAAACTACAAAAAATCAAACTCTTAATAAAAGCATTTTCTTGTAAATACCCTGTAACTAAATGAAATATTCTTTGATGCTTATTTAAGCGCATGCACAATCCACAAAATCCTTTTTCCCATTGATTCCGATTGTCATACGCAATTTAGAATTTATATATGGCAGTCAAATTAGTTTCTTTGCGAAATCAGAGCTCTTCCTTATTTTCCGAAATTTGAAGTACAAGAAAAATGAAGTATGCTGCTCACCTATCAAATTGGGTGACTCTTATATAAAATAATGTTATTCTTTACATGCTTTACGCAAGTCTTAACTGCAAGTTCGCTAGCTCTTATAAGTCTTTGATATAGATGAAGAATATACATATTTAAAATCAGATATATCGCCTTCTGCCTGATATATATATTTCAAAATCTCTGTGAGCCCATTTGTTATGAGTACAGGGTATAAAAATGAAAGTTAACTTGACTTTTGATTTTGTTGTTAATATTGAATTAATATCAAATACAAGCCGCTGGTGGCGATGCCCAATCGGTTGAGTGGGGGACACTGGCACGGCAACGGCGACAACAGCCCGGCGGCCTTAATGGAAATGGAAATGATGCGAGCGGAGCAGGCGCAGACACAGTGGTGGAGCAATTAGGCAGCGCCTCATGGACGTGGCATTAAATTTTATGCCTGAAAGTAGTGGTAGATACATCAAAAGTGAACGCAATCCATCATCTTGCGAATCACGGCGTGATGAGTGCCGCCAACAGTTCAGCCTTAGCTCAAACTCCAATTCCAGCACCAGCTACATGTCCAGCTTAAGGTTTGCTCTTTCACTTGTCGGCATCCTTTCGTTTTTACTTTTTTTTGTTTTGTTGGATTTTATGATGATGATGGCAACGTTTGTTGAATATTTGGCGCGTTCGCCGCACGAGCTAAACTCATAAAATGTTTGTGTGGCTAACTCTAATACCGTTAGACAGGCACAGCTCCAGCTTAAAGATATAAGATATGTACCAGCTACCCGCTTTCGTATGGTCAAGGTCACAATTAATTGCTGGCGATGACGACTTCCTCTATAACTGGCCAACGTTTCTAATGCCGCCTGATCTACTTTCGGCCGACCGACTCTGCGGCAATTAAAACAATTACTATTGCCACTTTGTAGCTGTAGCTGTAGCTGTAGCTATAGCTATAGCTGTAGCTGTAGCTATAGCAGTTACTGTAGCAGCTGCTGTGGCTCTATCTGTATTTGTATCTGCATCTGTGTATGTATTTGTATCTATATCTGGCTGGCTGTGGCTGCATTGCAGGGCTTTTTTCGCTGGAATTGCTCGAACCGCAGACACATCACGCCCATTAGCGACAATCAATCTCAGCCACGCTGCAAGAACTACAACAACAACAGTAACAAGAACAGAAACAGCAAAAACGTCCACTGATAAAGTCTTAGTTGGACTTGTTTTGGTTTTATATTTTGCCGCTCTTGCTGTTTGGCTTTTTTATTTACGAATGCGACTGCCAGATAACCTATAATTATGAAATTATTATTGAGCGCCAAGTTAGGCTTAAAGCTGCGCCATTAATATGTATGTGCGAAATACAAAAGCAAAAGCTGAAATTTATTATAGATATCTTCATATTGTCTGCCTTTAAATGCCGTCGGAAAAGCAAAAGTCTTTTCATTTCAGTTCGGTTTGTTTTGACAGGAAATCCATTGCTGGCGGCGCAGGAAGCTTGCACAAAAATATTTAATATAATGTATTCACAAAAATCGATCCTATTGTTATACAATAAAAATAATTAGACATATATATATAGAAAGAGAATTCGCAAGGCTAACTTAATGAGCAAGTTAAAAGCAACTTGTTGGCCACCTATGCACTTGCTACTGAACCGCGTGCAACCGTGAAAACAACCGAACTTATGCAAAATGCCCGCAGCCAAATATACAAAAATAAAATAAAAAAACAAACAAACTGTCCAAAACCCAAAGAGGGCGTTCTAGGAATTTCTTTATGGAAGCGAAAAGTCGCACAGGAAACAGCTTGTTATGTTTTTTGGTCACTTTTGAATATTTATGATATGCAAAAGGGGTCCTTCCTTGTTGCACGTTGCACATTGAACATTAAATTTATGCCGTTATGAGTAAGAGCCAACGAAAATTCAGTCACCTGGTATGGCGTCAGCTAGGAGAGTGAGAGTAAAGGTCCTTCAGAGCAGGCATGCAGACTGCACAATAAAAAAAAAAAAAAAAAGCAAGAGCATTGCCAATGATTTTTGCAGCATCCTGTCAGTGGCGGTCACTGCAACAAGGACAACCTGTAATTTTCAAATCTGGCGAAACAAATGCAAAACTGAAATATATCTTATGGATTGCGTATGGGCCACAGAAATGGCGCGCACAATGATGTGGAGACCCGTCCATGCTGACGATACTTTGAGTGCGACCAGGAGCAACAGAGAAAAGCAGAGATAGAGAGCTAGAGAGAGAGATAGAGAGGGGAGGGAGAGAGAGAGATGTTCAACGGAACGCATGTTCTTTGAAAATTGCCCATAATTATGCGAACGAACTTCAAACTGATTGTTTCTACCGGCAGCGGCGGCCATAGCTGTCCAAAAACCGCGTCTGTTGCATGCAACCTAGCCGAGTGGTCCACCAGCACCAGCACCAGCACCAACAACAGCCTTAGCCCCAGCTTTCAGATCGACATTGGACTGGTCGGGACGCTGCTATGGAATCGCCCGTTTGCTGCAGTGAAAGAGAATGACTGTAATTACGCATCACTTTTTCTTAATTTTCATGCTGTGCATCTTCCTCGTCTGTAGCTGGTGATGCTGGATGCTGTTGCCGTTGCTGGTGGTGTCTGTGAGGCGCAGTACCCACCATTTTGGCTTGGGAAGCCAGTAGAGGATTTGGACACTGAACTTGACCCACAAGACAAGTATGTTGATGTTGTTGCTGTGGCGGTGATTTTTGTGAGAAATATATACGTCCCAAGAGTTTTAGAAAATTGCTCGTTGCGTGCAGGTTTACGAAACAACGACTCGACAACATTTTGCGTGTCTTCTGTTTGTGGTTTTCGTTTTCTTTTTCATTTTTTACTTCCTTCAGTGAGAAATCTAATTTAAAAGATACAACATTTTAAATTATGGGGTTTTCTTTATTGCCAAAAATATTTTGGGTATTTTTTGTTGTGCATGATTACGTCTACGTGCTGTGAAAAGGCTTAAGTTGTGCGCCTGCATTTCAAATGACTGACAGGCGATACGCAGACACAAGACGGAAGTGCTGAATGTCAAAGTTTTTGGGTCAAAATTAACTATTGAAGCTTCAATGAAATTATGAAACCTTAAGTCCATGCACATGAAGATAAGGGCATTGACGGAAATGATATATACTTTGAAATATAATTGAGATAGTGATTTACTTTTTCTTTTTTTAAATTTCGGGTCTTCAAGTTCAATTTTCGCATTTAAAATTCTAACGTATTTTTGAATTTCCTTAATAGTGTTGCACAACACAGATTATCAGTATCATTTTGCACACACAGCTTTCTTCTATCGACGGAACGCCACAGTAGGAGTATCGATAGTTTCGTAGTGTCAGCACTGAAAAAATTATTATTGTTTTTGTTTATTGTTATTAAATGAATTCGGCTTGCTATGGAAACAGGTGCCAATATTGCAGTATTGACAGACGTCTCGTTTGCAGACTTTGAAACAAAAAGCAGCGACGAGAATGCCACTTTCGATAACTATGGCCCGTGCCAGGCAAAGCACGACATGACTATGACTCTCGACCTGTCGTTAGGCCAGAAGGCAGAGAACCTTTTCGCAACGGACCAAACGCCGACGCCCACACGACTCATCAAGAACTGTGATGAAGTGGGCCTGTTCGATGATCTGCAGCATGTTAATCCCTTTGATATCGGCTTTCAGCGGGCTGCCGAGCAAAATGCAGTTGCAGGCACAGCAATGCCTGCCACGCCGACACGCTCGGAAGCGCCGCCGACTGATGGCGACTCCCTGCACACGCCACAGGTATATCCCGTGGAGGCGGCACAACTGACCGCAGCAGCGCCAGCAGTCAGACAACACAGCAGTCCACTGGATCTGCCCATGGCTAACATGGAAGAGCTGCTGGCTACTCCAACGCAACCTGCAACAGCGCCCGAAGTCACACCAACAATTAATGGTGTGCCACCAGTACATGTAATCCAGCCACAAGTAATCACTTGGGTGCTGCCCACAACGACATTACCCGTAAGCACAATACCTGCCAGCACAATTAGCAAGCCACCCCAGCAGTCTGTGCGTCCCTTCATCTTGCCCAAGCCCAGCAGAGCTATCAGCTCCAAAGTTGGCGCTTTAATGCCTAGCACAACGCCAGTGCATGAGCCCAGCAGCGCTAGTCTGACGCCCACATCACAGCTGCCCATCAAGGAACGCCTCAAGGCGATACTCAACAGCAGCAACAACAACAAAACCAAGCAGCGCAGCTTTCAAACGCCTCCGCCCAAAGTTAAGACAGCAGTTAAGCGCAACGAAGATTCCATGGAGCGACGCCGTGCTGCTGCAAGCCGTTATCGCCACAAAATGCGCAATGAGCACAAGGATATTAAGGATCACAATGCACAACTACAGCAAGAGATTCGCCAGTTGCGGGAGCGCATTGCGACACTAGAGCGAGAACTACAGCTGCAATATGACAATAACAAAAACAACAATTTTAGCGGTATGAAAATCTTAAAATTGAGTAAATATATCTTAATATTCATTCTCTATTCTCTTTTTGCAGTTGTGGGTAATCAAATTCAAATACCACCCTCCAGCATACACCTTGTCATCAATGTGCCCAAGATGATAGTGCCTTCAACCGCCCCTAGCATGAGGCTGGATCAAAAGTAATTAATTATAATATAAAATATAGTTTTAGGGCAGTTTTGTAAAAATGTATATATATGAATGTATTACTAAATATTATACATTAAGTGTTTTTGTTATATAATTTTAAAACTAAATATAAAGAAATAAATCCGAACTTTATGCAAAAAGCCCATAGCTATGTTTTATTTCAAAGTAGGTTCACCATGATATTGGATTTTCAGTATTATTATTATTTGAGTATTATTAATAATGCACACTTGATATTTTCAGTTAGTCGTATTGCTAGTTGGGCTATGCGTATAAAACTGTCTCTTTTAAATCAACTGATATTATCAGAAAACAATATTATCAACATTGTAAGCCCTTCAATTCGTAAAATTTGTAAAAGTAGATTGCACCTGTTACTTACTGCTGTCGCTACCAATGAGATCCGTAAATTCGCGTTGTATTTCCAGAATGGAACGCTCGATTTCAATCAGATGTGGCTCCTTACGCAGGGGGTTTGTTGACGGCATTGGCCGCTGCAGTTTCTCCATGGTCATCTGCAAGAGATAGAAATATATTTAAGTTCATGTGTCCACTTAAGTCGGGGAGTTGCCCACCTCGCGCAAATGCTGCTGTAGTTTGTCTCTCTCCCGACACATTTTCTGTATGTTGTCGTAGTACTTTTGGGCAAGGGGAGCTTCCGCACTTTGTGCATAGTAGCGCTGCGCCAACAGCTCCATCTCCTGATTGCGTATCTCATCCTCGGCAAAAAGCATTTCCTGGTTTTGGCGACGTCGTTCGCGCTCAACGCTATGCATCAACTGATCGATCTCCTTCTCCATTTCCAATTCTATTCGCCGATGCTCAGTCTCGTTCAGCTTGCTGATGATCTCGCTCTTGCGCTGTCGCACCTCTAGTTGATACATGAGAAGCATTTTGCGATGGCAGGCAATGCGCTCCTCCTCGCGCTGTATGGTATCCTGATAGAGCTTCTCCATTTCCTTGAGCCGGCGCGCGTGCTCCTCCTGTTTGAGACCGTTCTCCAAACGGTCGATGATTTGCAGCTCTTCCAATTCAAGATTCCGTATGCGTACATCGATCTCCTGGTGCTGCTTTACCAGCGCCTCAGTTTGTTCCTCCTGCTGCTCAATCCAGTCAATGGGATAGTTGAGAAACTTTGGATACACACCTTTGGGTATCGATGCAAATGGTGGGATGAAGCGCTGAGCATGAACATTCGGATCGCATTTGCTCATCAGTTTGCGCGATCGCAGCATCCACTTAGCCACATCGGTGGGATTCTGTTCGTGAAAGAACCAGAGCACAGCCTCCTTGTCTGGCAGACGCAGGATAACCTCTCGATGCAACAGATTATAGGCAACGACAACAAATACAACGAAATATGGCTGCTCTGTAACAATATTGTCCCAAAGGACCAGCCATTGGTGCTCCTCGAGCACCTCGGCAAAGCCATTGGTGAGCAGCGACCAAGCATAGTCCTTTGGCTTCACATCCAGTGTCTGATAGAACTTGGATAGTTGCTCGTCCTGCAACTGCAGAAGATTCTCACACATGGCCAGGTAATTGTCAGGCGGCATTGGATGAAACTCAAAGCCAAGTTGCAAATGGTTAAGCAGCAGCGTTACGACCAGCTCGAAGACAACTAGTCCGTTCTTGGGCATTTGCTTGATAAAGGGGAACACCAGATGCGGCATAAAGTCCACATAGCCAAAAACCTTGCACCAATGCGCCAAGCAGCTCCACACCTTTATCACAGCGCGTCGCTGGGCATCGCTTTTGATTTTCAGAGCACGCGCCTTCTGCCTCACAATTGCGGGCTGGCCGAGTTTGAGCAATGCTTGATACTGTGCGCCATTGGAGGGCAGCTCCAGCAGCGAGCTCCATATAATAAAACGATACTTTTCCGGATAGCAGCCATACTCGCCCAAAATTGCCCGCAAGCGATCGCGTTTCAGCAGTTGCCGCAGTTCGCAATTCATAGAGCCGCTGAAATGGTAAGGCAACTTTGGCTGCTTTAGCACCGCACGCAGCTGTGTGATGCACTGAGTCTGTACCTGTAGAGAGTTGTATAGTCGACAAGTGGACCACACATTAACCTCACCACTCTTGGACAGAACGCTGAGCAGTTTGCCATCACGGCTGACGCTAACGCTGACCGCATTTGAGCGCTGTACGATTAGCTTGTGATCCGTTTGCTCCAGATCCAGCATGATGGCCATGCCGCGTGCAGTGATGGCGAAGAGTATTCGGTCCTTGGGCTGCGGCAGCAGCACCATTTGTTTTATGATAAAGTCGCTCAGTCGATACAATTTATCTAGCTCAAGGGATGCAGTGCTCAACAGCAGCAAATAACCATCCAATGTGCTGAAGCACAGCTTGTTGCCATTGGGTGAAAAGCTGTAGTTAAGCAGCTTGCCATCGGCAAAATGCTGTTCCTGACAGTCGAATGTGAGGTCATCCTCAAAAGTGCTGTCCTCATCGTCTTTGCCACGCAATACAATCTCAGGAATCGATTTATCTGGTCGCAGCAGACGCAATTTACGATCTCGCGCCTTAATGGGCTGCGCAATTAGCACGGTTTCCAATGTGTGCGTGGACCAGACATGAATGGAGTCATTGGTGAAGCAAGTGAAAAACTGATCCGAGTTGGGCATATAGCCGGCAAACTTAAGCGTGTACCGCGACTGATTAAATTCCAACTGATGCGACACTTGCAGCGTTCGCAGATTGAGCAGCACAGCGGCGGGACCGAAGCGCACTAGCGTATTGGATGCACTGGTGCTTTGTAGCCGATTTCCCCAGGAGATTTGATCAATAGACGCATTGCCCACCTCGTTGCTCCTGTTTAGTAGCGACTTCTCCACATCCAAAAGAAAGACATGACCCAGTTCGTTGCCCACAATGTACTCGTTGTGATGCAGTGGCGATGCATGCACCAGCTTTACCTGCGGCACGCGCACACTGAGACGCCAATAGCGTTTACTCACAAAGTCAAATATGTAGATGTTGCCGCTGAGTGGAAGGAAGCGTAGGATTAAACTTTTGATTCTTTAAGTGCTCGATATGGCTTACCGCCTGTCAATGACAACCAGTTTGTTGCTCATCTCATTGAAGCAGCAGGCGCCAATGCGAATGCGAAGCTGCTGCTCCACATTTTTGATTGTATGATGCACAGTGAGGATATTTCTATGATGATGAAAAACGTATTGCGCTTGAGATAAATGTATAAATTAGTTAATTATTTACCCAGATTCAGTTTGCTTCAACTTGAAAGGATATTTGCGCATGGGTATATCTTGACTGGTTGGATTTGTTGGAGGAAGAATATATTTTACCAAACAACATATTGTTTTTGACAAGTATTTACCCAGATTCAGTGTGCTTCAGCTTCATTGGATACTTGTGCATGGAAATAGGCGTGCTGGGTGCGGCGGACAAGGGTGGCTCAAAGAAATCCTCTTCGAATTCGTCTTCAGTGCCAAAGGAGAAGTCCCTCTCCGTATCTAGGTCACATTCCTCATTCTCATCATATTCTTGGTCTTCATTTTCGTCCACCACATTTTTATTTGAAGTGGCCTGTGAGCGATCTCCTTTTTTCATATTTTTCTCCATTTCAGCCAACTTTCAAATAACAAATGACAGTGCTCGGTTCACAAGCGAGCTAGTACAATTGAAGCGATTGTTATCGATATCGATTACACAAGTACGACATGTACGCAGTTCACCAAAATTTCATTGAAAATTCAATTTTATTCAAATCGAATTTATTGAATAAACATGCTGAAGGCAAGAAAAAATATTCATCTGTCCGGAAAATGTGTTAAAACTCATTAAGCAAATCCAACATTCAACTGTCGGTTAATAACTATTATGTATATTTGTATTTCAATTAAATAATTATTATGTGAATATATTTATTAATGTGAGATTGACTGTTGTCAGCGACGGCGCGAACTGCATCAAAATTGCTACATCCAAAAATCGTCGACGGGTGCTTAAACTAAACTTCCTCATCGGTGCAATATATGGAATATTACAGATCTCACTTAAAACATGCCACCATAAGGCGCCTCAAAGCCCTCGTCACGCATGGCATAGCCAAACATGGTCGAATAGTTGATAACGTTGCTTATAAGCGTCAGTGTGCACGCCATCCAGCTGATCTGTAGAACAAATAACAAATGTCGCTAATATAGATATTGTCTTCTAAAATATATAGCTTACAACAGCGGTATGGGCGAGAACTACGGGTAGTGCAAAGGCACTTAGCACCATGCCGGCGGTAAGGAAGAGTGCAAATTCTGTCTTTGGGTTGGTTTCGCCGCCAGGAGTCGTGCGCTTGGCTATAAAAACAGGCAGCACTGATAACACATAAAAGATGAGCACAAAGAACGGATAGAATATCTTGGGTGTGGGCACGGCGCAGGCCAGTATCAGGAATGTCATTCCCAGGCACGACAAAAATGCACAAATAATCAATCTGCAAATTATTGAAATGTTTATTTCATAGCTGGAAAAATGAATTTCAAGTGCTGGCGACTTACGCTGCAGGTGTTGGTCATTTTGTTGTTTTTTGTGTTTGTGGCAATCCGACAGTTCCAAAATTCAAAATATAAATAAACATACAGTTCAGTTATTTTGCATTATGTTTACTGCGTATAATTACCTTTCATTGCTGCCATTTTATTTGTTTATAAATTTTCCTGTCGCTTTGTTAAAAAAATGATTCACGGATAGCAACGATTAGACTATCGATAAGAATTTGCTTATTGAAGTATTTTTTATTTTCAGCCATTTTTAGGACGTTTCTTATGCTTGTCCTAAAATGTTAATATTATCTGGATGCTCTCTTTATTTATTTATTATTTATAGTTAAAATGATATATAAAATCCATTATTTGATGATTTGAAAGATGAGGCCCTTAAGGATACAATTCCTTATTGCTTAAATATAATCGTATTTAAATTTATCGAAATCTATAGTGTAATCGTATATCTATATTTGGATATTAAAGCGGCAATGGTGACAGACTGTTTTTAATGAAAATCTCTTTGTTTTAATGCAGCCTGAATTAACAGTTTATTTTACTTATTACTCAGTTAATTCATCTAAATTCAATTTGATTTATTGTTTTTTTATATTGTTTGAATATACCATAAAAGTAACTTCCTTCAATGCGATCAGAATAAAAAGTACGCCGCAGCATATTCATATACATACATTCCTGTGAATCGAAAGCTTTTGGGTGCAAAAATTCATTGATAAAAATAAAGTGTCCTATCCCAAAACGAAAATGGTTCAGCGCGTGCCCGCTAAAAGTTGCCGGTGGGTTGAGTGTGTGGGTGGTTGGGGAGGGTCTGGCTTCATGTCAAATATCAAGTGTGTATGCCTCTTAGCATCTGTCAGTGTATGTGTGTGAGTGTGTGTATGTGTCTAACTACGTAGCAGCCACCTGCTAGCTGCCAAGAAGTCGAATCTGGCTTCGGCTTTTTCATGAATGCATGAATGTTTATTCAAAGAATCCCAGCGCATACACACACACACACAAACACACACTCGCATGCGGACGTGTCGAGCTTTCTGCTGTGGGACAAAGCGCATGCGTTGAGCTGGCACACTGCGCTTTGTTGTTGGATGGCCCCCCCAAAAGCTGCCCGCAACATTTAACAGCGCGGGGGCGAACATAACATTTGCGTCACAGCTAGCAAATTGCTGATATTGCTGTTGCTGCTTCTGCTGCTACTGCTGCTGGCAGGCTCATTCAGTATAAAGGTATACGTCGACGCGAAAGCAAACGAAACGCGCAACGTCCAAAAACGCTCAATTCAACTGGGGGCAGCCTGACAAGTTCACAAGACACACACAGATAGTCAGTCAGTCGGTTTGCAATCTGCATTTTGAAAGAAAACTGCAGCATTTTGCATTTGTGACAGCCGGTGACAGTGTTGAATACCGCTCAAGTAGTCCTTATTCAAGCACTCGCAGCTATAAGTGCCCTTTGGGTAACAGAAATTGCAGAAAATATTGCACGCCTACGCGAATTTTGCGAGCCAAGCGCAAGAACCACCAGCTGCCCGTCTTTGTGTGTGCGGGTGTGTGCTTGTGGGTGTGTGTCAGTGTGTGTGCGTGTGTGTGTGAAAATCAATAAACTCTGTCGTCGTCGTTATCGCTGTAGAGTGTGAAAGGGCAGCAGAGCAGCATGAACGGGCCACATTAACCGGCCATATGCTAAGCAAAAAATAATAATAATAATAATTGAATTGAAGCAGTGCAAGTTTTGAATATATTGTGTGGAGTTAAACACTGAACGCATTTTGTGTGTACTAAGTGAAAAAGCGTTAAAAAAAAACAATATGGCCAGGCGAATGGAAATAACCTGCGCACTGATTGCACTACTCATGTGCAGCATATTGGGTCACTGCGAAATGTCCGTTTACCCAGGTACATATGCCTAAAAATAGCACAACCCTAACTAACCGACTACCCGACCACCACCCAACCAATCCAACCAATCCACAAAACAAACCCACCTCACTTAAAACTTACGCCATGTATATGTATATATGTGTGTGTGTGTGTGTGTGTGGGTAATTTCAACTTTTGCGTCGTGAATGGCGCTGTAAGGCAAAAGCAGCTGCCGTTTGCCACTTCGTTTTGTGTATACTGTGTACTAGATATGCATGCCTCTGTATGTGTGTATGTCTTTATATATATACATATATCAAGTATACACATCGAGTATCAAATATTCACGATTCAAACCAAAACACCCACGCTGCAACGCCAACACTTGCCGTATGCTCTATGTATGTGTACAGTTTGTGTGTGTGTGAGTGTGTGTGTGTGCGCGCGGGTAGATCCTCACCTCGCCCAGCCTCACCCGCATAGTTAGTTCTCTGCTCGAGTTTGTTGCAGTCGGTACTTTTTATAGCCTACTTTTCAGGGCAGCAGCAGCTACACACACATACAATATATACGAAATGTAATCAAGTTTTTCCAAGCACGTCACAGCCTGAGTTAAACTGTGTGCGTGTGTATGTGTGTGTGTGTGTGTGTGTGTGCGCGCGTGTAGTAATTGGTCTATTTTAAGGCATTGGCAATCAAATTGACTTTTGTTTGTCTATTCCGGTTGTTTTTTTCTTCTCTTCTTTCTTTCTGTATTTGGGCGGGTTACAATTGGAAGTTTCCCCTAACCGTTTTCGTCTATTTTCTATTTTCGTCGCATTTATTTTTGAACGCCAAACTAACACGCAAGCCCGCATTGCCATTAGCATTAGCATAATGAGTGTGTGCCCAACACATACACACACACAGAAACACACACACTTACACACACCCAACAGCTGCTTTCAATTAATCAATTGACTTTTCTTTTCGCTTCTGTTTCATCCTTGCAGGACTCCGACGTCGTCCCATACAGCAGGCGGCAATGGAAACGCAGCAATATGAGCAGCTTATGGAGAATCATGCGCGACGCCGGCTGCAGCAGCAGTTTGAACGGCAGCTGGAGCTGATCAAACTAAAGATGATGCGGCAGCGACAGCTGCTGGAGCAGGAACGATATCGCCAGCGGCAGCAGGAGATGCGAGTGATGGCCGAATCGGAAAATGATTACGAGAACGATAACGAAAACGAAAACGACAACGACAATAATAACAATCTGAACAATCAGCAGTACGATCAATATGATAATGCCGAGGGCGATGCGGCCTATGGCAGTCCCTTGGATGCTGTACCAGATGTGCGTCCTCCACCACCGCCTCTGATGCAGCTGCCGCTGCCCAATTTCAATAGGCTGGACGCAATCGGTGGCTACGGTCGCAATCCTCCTGGAGTGCTCCGTGAGCGCATTCCCTTCGCCGTCGGACCAAATGATGCTCGTTTCTTTGACAACGCCAACGATCCATCGGGTGAGCTGGACTCGCGGGCCCTGGACGACTACGAGGAGTATGCACCGGCACCGGAACTATTGGCAGCCGATTCGGTAACGGCCAAGAGCAAGCTGGCCACCGCGGCGCCGGCGCCAAAGCCCATGGAGTCTCCCAAGCTGCTGGACACGGCCACCGCCAATTTCCATCGGATCAAGCCACAAACGGCGGCCGCAGCTGCCGTAGCCGGCGTCAATCTGCCCCAGTCGAAGGACACGCCCAACGAGATTAACGCCCTCATCGATAAGCTGCAAAAGCAAAGCAAATCCCCCCTGCTCGCTTACCCGGCCAGCACTGGCGACACCAATGAGCACATTGTGCTGCGCCAGCATCTGGGCCTCAACAGCGAAATGGGCGTCTACATTGTGGCCCTCATAGCGGGCGTCAGCGCGGCGGTGACTGTCGGCCTATTAGCGCTAGGCGTTACCTGGTAAGTTGAAAATTATAATTGTAAAAGTAAAATAAATTGTCTTACAAATGGAAAACCCATTCAAATTTAAGTAAAATCGAAACCCCTTCAAATTTGAGTCAATCTAAATTAACATTTTATCTAACAACAATAAACATTGCTTATGACTTGCAGCTAAGAAACACTGAAGAAATAATTAGATATCTTACAAGAATCTGCAAATTCATTTAATTAATTTCAAAATTATATTAATAGGAATTATTTTCAGATGTAGAATAACTCTGGTTTCCCTACTATAAAAACGAGGCTCATAATTAGCAGGTCATATAATTTATTATAATCTTTTAAGTCGTATAATATAATTGATGTAAATATCAATATTTAAAGACAACTCCATTAAAACTTGAACTGAACATATAAACAAAAGTTCAACAAAAATTCACTCGTACTACTAAAGAAAAATCTTAACAAAATTTGTGTTCAATCGATTTTGAGCTAAGCCAATTACCAACTGCAAGTTCCTCAAGCTTGTTCAGCTGTAGAATCTGCTTAAAGCAATTAAAACGCTATAACATATGGAATATAAACTTTAATTTATTCTCCATCAAACTAACGCCTCGATTTTGTATTTTCTGCAGGTTCCATAATCGCAGCAAGGCCGCCGCGGATGTCGACTATCCGGCTTACGGCGTAACCGGTCCCAACAAGGACGTATCTCCGTCGTGCGATCGCAAGCTGGCGCAGAGCGCTCAGATGTATCACTATCAGCACCAGAAGCAGCAAATCATTGCAATGGAGAATTGCCAAGCGACCGACGGCAGCTGCGGCCTGTCCGATGTAGAGAGCGACGATGACAACGAGGAGGGCGACTATACCGTCTATGAGTGTCCCGGCTTGGCGCCCACCGGCGAAATGGAGGTAAAGAATCCGCTCTTCCTGGATGAGACGCCGGCCACGCCAGCCATTGGTGCAAGCAGTGCGCCAACAGCAGCTGCTGCAGCGGCAACCAACAAAGCAGGCACCACGAACACCAACACCACCACTAATAATAACATTACGCAGGCCACGGCTCAGCAACCGGCTACGCAGAAAAAGGGCACCGTCAAGCCGAACATGAATCTGTTGAATGCTGCAGCCTCCGCTGCTGCCACTGAGGAGAAGCAGAAGCGCAAGACCAAGAAGTAAATTGGGCAAAGTTGAAAGTCTTTCTCTCACTCTCTCTCCCGCTCTGCCTATTGCTCTCTCTCTCTCCCTCTCTCGCACCGTCTATCTGTCTATCGCTTTCTCTTGGCATGCCATGTGCTTAGGCAATTGGTAAAGTTTGACTGATCCATTTTGTCAGCCAACAGACACTAGACACAAGGTACGCGTATGTACATAACACACACCCACATACACACACGCCCACACACACATACATACATACGCGCGCATGTATAGATTATGTATTCCTAATGAAAAGTCCATGGAATTAAATTCCACGGCTGCAGGTGCACTCGAGTGCAAGAAACGCGTCAACGTCAGTTTGAAGGCACAAAACAAAACAAAACCAAATAATATAAAATAAAACTCTCTCTCTTATCTTCCTCGTCCCCCTTTAAGTGTAAGCCCCATCATTATATGATATTTTATGTAACGTAATCGTATCGTATCATAATCGTATTGCTATGAAGTAATACCAGCTCTTAGCACGTATAATATAACAATATTCTGCAACTCCTGCTGTTCCTGCTCCTCTCCTTGACTGTTTTCTGCTTATGTGAATCCAAGTCAGAATATTCTGCAAGCGATTTCCTGTGGTGCGATGTCAATCAAATGCAGATGCACACACAATTTTGCCTGGCATAATATTTGTTCCATAACAAGTCCAGTCCTCGCTCCTCCATCTCCTTTCCTGACAAAATTCCCCCCTAAAATGAATAAACATAATATGCTACTGATTCTATTTACATACAATCCAAAATGTGTACTTATTTATATTGTATTGTAATTTAACATTTTATTGTACTTTATATCAACAAAACCACAACAACAGCAACAACAACAAAAGCAACATTTTTTGTCTGCAAAAAGAATCAATTTATAAGGAAAAGAAAATACTATTTTAAAGTCTGCATATTGGCATTGGAACAAGAAAAACCAAATAAAAATAAAAGCATAAAACATAACATAACATATACTTATTATGTGTATTATGATCGTACATGCACACATATACATACGTACATGTGTGTGTGTGTGTGTAGTGCATACATATATACATACATATACCTATATTCGTGTAATTATTGTAACATACTACTTATATATACAAGCCTAATGAAATTAATTACTTATGGTATTCCCAAGTTTATTTTCTAAATTATTGTACTACGCTTTGTGATCTTAAATTATCTGTGTCAATTTAGAAATACAATTCTGGTAACCAACATATACATACACACATATAGTACTATATATATATACATATGTATATGCAGTATATGTATGTACCTATCATATTGAAGCAAGATGATCTATGGAAAGCGATGATTAGGAATGAGAAGAATTATTTACAAGTATAACTTAACAATAATTTCCTGCACATTCATGTAAAGTAAATGAAAAACGACTGATAACACACAAAAATACACGAGTCTATTGTACAAAAACGAAAGTAATGAAAGAAAACGCAATTTATTTATTAATTAGTGAAAAATTAACTGAAACGAAATAGTAGATGTTCCAAATTCCCCCCAAAAAATGAGAAAATATTAGCGAAACATTTAATTATGTATCTCAATTGCTGTAAATAAAAACATACAAATAAACAAAAGACGTATGTGAACTAACTATATACGACACATACATATTTACTAGAACAAACAAAACAAAGACAACAACAACAAAAACAAAAACAACGTAAACAATTGCGGCCGTAACAATACACTGAGAAACGTCAGAAAAACTCACGAGTTTAAAAAGAATACAACTTATATACACATAGAACTACAATAACAACTACGAGTAAAAGCTACTAAAACAAAAAGAAAAAAAAAGAAAAGAAAATATTGAAAATTGACAACTGCTAAGCATGTTGGATTAGACATGGAAGTACTTATATGCATCTATTTTATATTGTTTTCAACAATACCAATTGGAAATGTACTTTGCAAACCAATAATAAATATGCAAACGAAATGTTAAACGAAATGTTGAGTTTGAAATATATATTTTATGGAGTTTTCCGATGACCGAAACAAATGCAGAATACAAATATGTACGATTACTTGATAGAAATTGAAAAAAGATAAATACCTACATATATTGTGCATAAAGAATATAATTTAATTTATTTATGTATTGTATGATAACCATAATAACACAAATTATACAATATGCATACAAAATAAATTAAACTAACCCAAAAAGGAAATCAAAACAATTTTATTTACTCGATTTCTATTGCAGCAGAATTCAAATTATATATTTAATTGGCTGCGAAAATCAAACGTTTGAACAGTTAGGCGGCCATTCGCGGAGTTGCCACACAGTTGCACTCTCATATTGGACGGTTGGCGCTGCCAACTTGGTGCAGCGCTTTCCAACACCAATCACGTAGGTATTTTTTAGTCTATGCCGTAATGGTCGCATTGCTAACAGAAGCCAATCAGTAATTGCGACAATAATAATTCAATGTGCGTTCGCCGCGCGCGTTTTTATTTCATATTAATTAATTCACAAATACAATTTGAAGTCTTGCGGGCATAAAAACGCGAAAGTCGGTGTCGACATCGCCAACGCTGCCAATGCGGTTGCATGTTGGACTTGGAGTGAAACTAGCGCTTAGAATTAAAGCGAGTAGCAATTAAATATGCTTTGGTTCCTTAACACAGATGAACCTGCTGCTGTTGTTGTCGCTCTTGTTATTTAGGTAAGTGATTTTTGTCTGTTTTTTTTCTTTAGTTTTTATTATTTGGGGCGTGAACGGTTGTGCTTATAAATAAGTGTCTCGCATCGAGATGCATCGCTCTATTCTGGGCTGGCACTGGGCGCCCCACAAAATTTATATCAAGTGCAAATTTTTGTGTATATACATAACATATATACATATATTTATTTTTATGTATTTGGGCGTACTTGTCGATTACGAAACTGGATAGTAGGTGTGGAAGGGGGGAGGCAGAGGTGGCTACTTTGGCCACACTTTGCATACAAAGGCTAAGCATTAACAGTGTTGCCGACGGCATATACAAAATTGCGTGTGACAAGAGGCAAAAAAGGGAGGCGGCATTAGGTGTATTCAAAAATCATTGTTATCGATTTGTTAGGGGTTTCTCTGTGTGTGCAGCTGTTGTTGCTTGCTTCTGTGCTTAACTTTTCTTATATTACCGGCTAATGAGTAAAATTGTGATTCATCGCTGCAGCAAATCAATAAAAATACACTTAGAGTCGTTTCCTTTTCTTTAGCGATAAACTTATAGACTTAGATAATGTGATAAGCAAATGTTATCAGACAACCACGAATAATTCATAATAAGCAGCAAGCAGTATGCACAGTGTACAGCGGACGCTTGACAATTAAAATACTTCGTTTGTAGATGAGTTTCTAATCGTTGAAGATCTTTGTTAATGACTCATATTTACACGTTATTATTGTCGAAAATAATTTGAATAAGATCAACACAAAATAAAATTGATTTATATTATTGATAAATACAAAATTGATTTATATGTATTTGACTACTGTATACACCAGTGTCAGACATATATAAATATATATAAGTATAAATACACACACACAAATAGACGCATAGCAACGACGCCCCTTGGCACAAAATTTGAGTTTCACTTTGTGGAAATATTTTCCAGCTGTTGTTTTGCTTGTTACTTGTTAAACAGGATGCGCAGGCAGGAAGGCCTGCCTGACTGCCTGAATGCCTGGCTGGCTGACTGGCTGACTAACGGACTGACTGACTGGCAGGGAGGGAGGGAGGGTGAAGCGTTTCAGGCCAGATGTTTTTGACTGCGTAGAAAATTCAGTCGTTTTTAAGGCTCCTCGAGTCGTGCATTGTTATTGCTCAGCTCATTGGCTCTTGGCTCTACTCGGCGCAGGCAACACTCGAAAAGTACACGCACTTATGGTAAATATGTAGAGATGTACATTTGTACCTACATACGGATTGTGGCTGCGTTTCTAGTTTCGAGGCTTGACCCACTTTACGGCGCGCGGATCAGAGAACAAGAGAACGAGCACAAGAATCACGCTACAACGCTGACTGAGCGTCAGCAGAAAGCGAGCCGCAGAGCCGCAGAGGCAAGCTCATTATTCTATGTGCTTGGCCTTCCTGTTGGCTTCGGTTTGTTTTGTTTTTGTTGCAGTTTTTTTTTTTTTGCTTTGTTTTCTTTTTATTTGCATTGTGTAGTTTCTCTTGTTACCCAGCGGCTGTGATTACAAGTGCTTATTACACACGCACACACACATACATATATAAATATATATATGCATGAATATGTACGAAAATGTACTGATAATGACACTTAGTCGTTGTTCATCTACTTGCGCATAAATTAAATGCACTTGGCTTGAATTTGCATTGCAATTGAAAACATTTAAATGCTGATAAGTAATCTAAATTCTGGAATCCGAAAAGTTGCTTTCAATTAAGTTCTCAATGAAAGCAGAAATGCATAGCTGCAACTTGGCACCTCAATGAATTCAATTTTGTTTATAGTACACAGTAAGTGTTGTTTAATAGCTACAAAACAAATTTAGTGACACCAGCCGTCAGATCTTGTAATAAACTGTTGAAATTGGATTTTTACTCAAAATAAAAAAACATTTTGATTATACTTAAGGTCCTTAAACTGTAAATTGAATTTGGAAAGAACTTGTTATTTATTCTTCTGTTGCTTAATTCTTTGAAATATTAAATGTCGAGTGGATCCCACGTATACAATATACATTCGCAGGCAGCAAAATGTTATAATTTTTGAGCTGCCATAACACATCTATTATATAAAAATTGTATATGTACCACTTTCTCTTGCCAAGAAACCGTTTAATATATAATATTATTCACATTAATCCAGCTATAAATGTTTAAGTATAAAATTTCGCCAAGGATGCCGACAAAATTATACGCTTGGATTAAGTAAATGTGTTTCGCATAGTAAAATGACTTACAGGCAAACTACCCTTGTGGTGTTCACTGTATGTATATGATTGTGTATGCACTTTTCACAATCGCATTGCCATCGGGGCGAAGGTTAATTTATGGACAGACACACCGAGTATATATGCAATGTATATATTTTAAAAGTAAATCTGTGGCGGTTATTGAACTTGACGATGGCATCGCTGTCAACGCTGGCGACACCAGCTGACCTTGCCCGCCATCCAACATCCAATATTTTACACGGCGCGTTATATGTCAAAATCGTCAAACCAAAATAAAAGAAGAGAAATCAGAACTGGAAAGAACTCAATTTTGTAAATGCTGCAAAAGAAAATATTATGGTATAAAGCTGTTGAATGATCTGTTTGAGGGTCAGCCAGGGGGACAATTTAGTTGTAGGGCTATTTGGCGAGTCGAGGCAATTGGAGACGCCAACACACATTCCTCAGATAGAAGTATGCACATACATTATAAATTATATATATATATATATATATATATATATATATATATATATATATATATATATATATATCGAAATGTATGTGTGACTTGTATTTTATTTAAATAAAGCTGCAGGCTGATAAACAAGCGGCAATCCAATTTGATTTCCGCGAACTTTGCAGCTGTTTTGTTTGCTTTTTTTAATGAAATTTATGTAAAAACAATAAACATATTTATTGGACTGCGTATATTCATATGTGTCTGACTGTGGTGGGTGGTGGGTGGTGGGATAGCATCACGTAGGTGTTGGTGGTTGGCATAAACAAAAGCGGGCAGCCAGAGAGCGACGCCATCACATTTTCATGCCCCTGACCACAATATCAATGGAGATTTTGTTATTATCCAAATTATATGGCACATACATAATCCAATGTTCCGGTGTAGGTACAAATTAAATAGGTAGGCAGATCAAAAGCTAGAAAAAAATTGCAAACAATTTGAGAAAAAGAAAAACCCAACTAATCGAAACAAACGAAATATATTTACATATGGCTCACTTTATTATAAATATAAATCGTGGGAAACCTGTAAGCGTAAGAACAAAAGCAACAACATTCTATAAGCCCATAACTCAGACGGAAAACAACAGAACAGAACAATACACACCCACACTCACCCCACACTCACGTACACACACGTGATTGTAGTTAATTTACGTTAATTGCATTTGATATCTTCATAAATCGATCCCCGGGCAAAGCAATACAAAATCGATTGGCAGCTGTATATATACCATATATATGCACATATATGTGTATATATAGTATATATGCTGTATGTATATTTTTGTTTCTGTAATAGTTCAAATAATCCATAAAATCCATTTGCTGAAAGAAAAAAAAAATTTGAGGCAGTCTGGAAAATAATTCGTTTGCGCTTTTGTCTCACTCGACATTTATTTCCTATAATCTCTGTCAGTTTCTGGTTTATCTTCACTGTCTGCTTTTCTATATAGCTGAATATGCTGTAATTGAAAAATGCCTATAAAACAATAACAGGAATCATTGCTAAAGCTTATAAGTTTGTTTGAAGGTAAGATTCTATCACAAAAGCCAACTTTTAGACGTTTATTTGTTTTTGTAAGCATGGACCTATTTATTTTGCTTAATATGTCATGTTAAATTCTCAAAATTAAACTATATAAACCAAATTGATTTGTAAAGTTAGCAACATTAATTATATTCTGGAAAATTCATAGTGATAGTAAACAAATACACAAGCAAGAGTGAAATTGGTTGATGGTGCTCCTAGCTCAATGCCCTTTTCCATTTTTGGATGATCTTAGAACAGAACATTTAATATAGAAGTTTGTACGTACTTTAATAATGTTTTTATTCCTCTTGGGATCATTTCAAACTATATTTAAGGTTTTCTCCTACTTGCTTATGCCTGCAACTTTCTTCTCAAAATTCTTCTCATTTGGCACGTAGTACGGACCAACAGTTTAAACACACAATCTTCAAATATGTTTTTCTTGAATTCTTGCGAAATTTTAAAATGATAAACAAAACTTTTCTCATTGTTTTTATGCGATTTAAGCAGTCGTCGATAAGAGCTCGCAATATGACTTATACATGTAAATACTTGTAGTATAATATACATTTATGTATATACAAATGGCTTCCTTCTTTCGCTGTCGCGTTGTCCATTTTAAAAATCGAATCATACTATATATATATATATATATATATATAGTTGTGTATATATTTCTCCCTTGGGCCAGACCGACTAATCGAATCAAACGCAAACGCAAAGCAAAGCATTTGGCGTTGGCAAATGTGAGCGTCATTGCATGTGATCAGCATTTCGCTGTGGAATGATTATGACTTAATTGAAATTAATTAGACGGGGTCGCCGTCAGACAGTCTTTGAGAAATGTGTGGCATCAGCACATGCACATACATATAGCTTTCTATATACGTATGTCTAAATATCTATCTACACGCATGTGTGCAGCAATTAAACAAGGTTATTTATTTGGACATCAGATAGGGCCTAAATGGGGTTTCTCTCTCTCTCTCTCTCTCTCTGTATCTCTCTCACTCGCTATGCATTTGATGGGTTCATTGACCGATTTGGTGACTTGTTTTTTCTTCCTAAACTTTCCGCTGACTCTATGCATATCGTTAGCTTGTTGTAGCTGTTGTTGTTTTGTTGTGTGGTGCATTGGCACCCCCAAAAACCCAATCGACAGCTATAACAGTAGCCAGTGCTGCTGCTGCTGCCATAAAATACCAGATCCAGGTCTTTTCGTGCCGCTTGCCGCGTGACTCACATTGTCCGCCGCTGTGGAAATTGAGCAGCGAAGCGTGCCACACGCTGCATTGGCTGAAGCTTGAAGCCGCCAGTTTTTTGTTTTAATGCTTGTTACTTGTTATTGTTGTTCTGCATTGTGACTTTTGTTGCAGCCGCAGCACAAAATGAGTTTCAGTAAACAAACAGGCTGCCGCGCGCACGGAGCAACATCAGAAAAGTTATTCAGCAGAAGCCGCAGTTTTCGCAGAAGTAAAAAATATTTAAATAAATATATATAAACATCTAATTGATCTATATACAAAACTTCATTCATTAACAGAGTATCGGCAAAGTGGTTATTGAACGACTGAAACGATTGCTATGATGCGCTATTCGGAAATATCGCGCGATCTGTCCACGGATAATCTGCGCTATTCAGAGGTAAGTTTGCCGCCGCACCCTCTAACTGAATCCTTGACTTATAGTCTAAAATGTTTCCACAGCTGAGCAGAAAACCAACAGCGGACTATGTAGCTTATGATGGACAGAGTTATGTCAAGGCCTCCCCAACGCAGTCGCCGTGTCACCAACAGCAGCAATCATCGCCGCAGCTGACGCGGCAGTTGATGAAGCATCGTGGTTCCACTGGCAATGCACACACCATGGCCTGTTTGCGTCAGGAGAAGGCACAAAAGGAGCTGCGAACGGAACAAATTCAGGCACAGCAGCCAACCAGCAAAACGCTGAATATAAAGAGCACACGTCGCAAGAACTCCATTGGCTGCTTGACTAGCTTTAGCTCTTCGCCAGACTCGCCGGGTTGCTACTACAGCATAGCGTAAGTTGAACAAACGCTTTGTGCAATCAATTTATAAATATTTAAGCAATTGTTCACTTGCAGTACAACTGCAGCGCCAGCGAATAAATCTCAGAGTCTGCCGGCGCATGGCTCCATCAAAGAACTGGATGCGGTCATTTTGAGTGCATTGCGTGTTCCCGCCGATCTGCTGGCAAATCAGATAACACTGCTCGACTTTCCAGTTTTTGCGCTCATACAGCCCGATGAGCTCAGCAGCTGCGCCTGGACCAAAAAGGACAAGCATGTGGTCACGCCCAATATTGTTGCGTTCACCAAGCGCTTCAATCACACCAGTTTTTGGACAGTGCAGGAGATCCTAAACGGCGAACAGCCCAAGCAGCGTGCAGAGGTCATGACACACTTCATTAAGGTGGGTGCTGGTAGAAAGACTACTATTAAATTGATGCCAGACAATATTTCAAACGAGAGAGATTAATTGTATTCACTCAATTGAAGAGTGAAGCTTGTTTGCGCAACACAATGAAATTAATTATACACTGGCAGTGTCACAAAATGTGTATGCATCTAAAAGCCTTAAGCTGAAGTCAATTTATACAATTAAAGTCTTTTTTTGCCAGCTTCATTGTTTGTTAATTGCAATCAGAAATGTTAACAATGAATAGTGACACTACTGAACGTGTGATAATAGTGTATTATATTGTTTTCCACTGGTATATAGTGTTTTAATAGAGATCACATATTCAAAGTCAGTTATAGTCGTTGACTGGTTTCAATAACATTTCTCAATCACATGCCCATTTCAGGTGGCCAAAAAACTGCACGAGTTGAACAATCTGCACTCGCTGTTTGCTATTATTTCTGCCATGCAAAGTGCCAGCATTTATCGTCTGAAGAAAACCTGGGCCTGTCTGTCCAAAAAGGATCGACAATCGTTTGAGCGACTAAGCGATATATTTAGCGATCAAAATAATTGGTCTAATCTGCGCTCGTATTTGGAAAGTCTGCGTTTGCCGTGCATACCGTATTTGGGACTATTTCTCACCGATTTAATCTACATTGATTTGGCGCATCCGCATAAGGGCGGCCTGGAGCCAGAGCAGCGACGCAACAAGATGAACAACATATTGCGCGTCATCTCCAACTATCAGCAATCGGATTATCAGCACATACAGCCGCACGAGTCCACACAGAAGTATCTGACGTCCATACGCTACATTGAGGAGTTGCAGAACATATTCGAGGAGGATCAGTACAAGTAAGGCGACTCATAAAACTTGATATCGAACATGAGAGAACTAAATCTCTTTTCTATATTTAAACAGACGCTCGCTGAGCCTGGAACCCGCCTCGCCCTCTGGGCCCAGTTCGTCGTCGTGCAGCTCAAAGGAATCGTTTAATGTGGAGTCTGTGGCGCCAGCGTTGGGTTGTTTAAGTCTATCGCCGGCCAAGACAATTGGCTCCATGCGCATGGCCAGTGGCACCAAGTTTGTGCCCGGCCATCGCAAGTGTCGCAGCCTGGGCACGAAGTAAGTTCCTCACAGCAGCCGTAAATGAAATCTTTGCGCGCATTTTCTAACTGCCAAACAAACACTTTTCGTGTCTCGTCCCAAAAAAAAAAAAACAACAAAAAAAAAACTTTCAATTTCTTTTTTAACCACCACTCGACACAAAACTCACTGCGCTATTGGACTGAACCATGGGGGTCCTAATCAAACGTTACTATTAATCTTATTGTGATTATAATTATTATTGTCTCACTTATGCTTTTATGCTTTGCTTTTGTTCTGTATCCTCGTATCCGTATCTCTGTATATTTGTGTATGTTACCGTAACTGCCTCCTTTGGTGGCACACTAGATTTCGCAGCAGCAGCTTGCCGCGCAACTTTGCACAACGGTGCCAGTGCTGCATTGTGATGATTGCGCCGGGCATTGGCACAATCTCCAACAAGCGCTGCAGATGCCGCCGGTGAGTGCCCCAACGTGTTGACCGTAGCTAGGATATTTAATCAGCTGTTTTCTAACATTATCAGTTTCTATCAGTTTGTGCACGGACCCAATCTAAAATGCTTCCATGTAAACAAGACCAAAAACAAAACAACCAAACAACTAAACACAATGAACAAGTATTTTCGGCATGCCGAATTTGAAATACCCTTGCACACGCTGTGAGCTTTATTATTATATTAATCTCGTATTGTCAAGTTGTACCTTAAATATTATAATTTGTTTTGATTTAGCATAAGTCCGATGCTGCAAATAATATGACAGTTTCTTCGAGATAAGCCATAACAACTGTTTACACATTTGAACGGTGTTGCTAATCTGATTAAGAATATATATATGTACACATAAATTGTATATATGCTTTGGGGCCGCTGACAAAGCAAGTGAATGCTCAGCAAGGGTATTAAAACATATGCCCACTTTAACAAAAACAAATCACACGCCCACACACGCTTAATGCTCTCTGCTGCTTTGGGTGTAAATAAGTTGTATAAATTCTTCCGAACTATTTTCGTTTCATTTAGCTCATCTGCCCCACATCATATATACATCACACTTACAATCTCTCATACAGACGCGCTCTTTGTTGCCTTACATTGATACAATTTGTTTATGCCATATTAAACGCTTGCCTGCATGACGCCCCCTTGTGTGTATATGTTTTGGCCCTAATTGTGCCAATTCAACACTAAAATCGATTTTATGTTTGCTTTCGCAGCATCTTTGGTAAAATTGCGCCGAACAACTGCGATGGACATCCGCATTTCCTGCACCTGGAGCACGATCTACCGCTGCAACAGCCGCGTCATCATCTGCTCGACGACTCCGTGCTGGAGCACAGCGATGCGCTGTCCAATGCGGATCTGACCTCGCTGGAGAGTGCTGAGGGCAACCTATGCGACTTTACGGGTAGTAATTGCGATCTGATGTCACCAGAGGCAGCCGCTGCGATGCAGGGATGTCTGCGACGCAAGACTGTGCAGAAGGAGGGCCGCAAACCGGCGGTGGCCTCCTGGCAACGCTACTGGGTGCAGATCTGGGCCAATTCGCTCGTCTACTTTCCGCCCAAGTCGTTCAAGGGTAGCGACCGTGGCGACTTCAAGCGTGAGCCGTGCAAGGTGTGCCCCCTGGAGGGCTGGTATGCCCAAGTTAGCGACAACACGAAACATAAGAACACCTTTGAGATATACCACCGCACCCTGGGCACCGTTTATAAGTTTCGCACAGATAGTCCGCAGATGACGCATCTATGGACGAACGCCATTTGTAAGCTGGCAACGACGCGCGTGCCAAAGCCACTGCCTGCCAATCTGATGTCCTTCGAGTGAGTCAGCCAGAGTGAGCCGGACACCACCAACCCTCTCGAAATTGAACTTATGTACTCAACAATTAGGTTTAGTTATGTAGCTGTTAACTTACTCACGATGTCATGTTGCAACCACTACAACTACCACAGAACATTCCCGCAGCTCTCTGCTTGATAGAACACCACACATAAAAAAAAAACTGAAAACACCACACATCAACCACAAACAAACCAACTAACGAACAAATTATAATTTGCAAATGAAACAATTTCAAATGGTATTTCAAAAGACTGACAGACTAGCAGAGCAAAAAGAATACGAAGTAGATAATGAAGTTAATGGTGAATCAGTACAGGAACACACTCAAGAACACAGACACTCGAAAACAATAGCAATATAATGATATTAGCATAGTCGCAGCAAATAATATATATTGGATATATGTATTTAGACTCTTAAGCCGATTTCTCATTTATTATAAGCTGTGACTATCGATTGCTTTCTGTCCTGTACGTAACTCTCTGTGTATGTGTTTTGTTTTGTATCTTGTAATGTAATTAGCATAAAAAACAGAAAACCATTTCGACATATTTAATTTTTTTTTGTATGTTCATATGCGCTATTTGTGCCATATTAATTTTAAATGAAAAGCGATTTATATTTATATTACTATAGAAAGAATGCAACTGCACTTTATGCAAAACTTTGTACCGCCTTTTCTTAGGCCAAGTCTAACTAACTATAATTAATAAATTAATTTCTAATTTTCAAGTGTCTACTGAGACGTTTGCTTAACTACTTTGTAACAAAGAATCAAAAACGAAAAAAATAATAAACATATACACAACGCATACTACAAACGAAAATTATAGGCTTTAAACATAGATAAAAATATTGATATCAAATATATACTGTATATGTATGTTGCATGCTAGGGTAAATATATAAGTTTCATCATAAGCATATATATTAAAATGTTGCATGTTCTATAGACAATACAACTTGGATTCTTAAAACACAAACAAACGAAATTTATGTTAACTATGGGTAACAGTTACTTTACACACTTACTTTAGATATTTTACTTAAGCTTTGTCATCCACACAGACACATATTTGATTTGCAAATTTTACCTTAAGCATTAAAGAAATGCAACAACGAAAAACAAAAAAAAAGTCTATTAAATCAAACTACACAAAAACGATCGCTCTTTCTTTAAGCATGTACATCTGATGTTATATAATGCGGCGTACGTTATTTATAACAATTTTCAAGCATTGCTCGTGCAAAGTGCTCGAATTTGCAATTCATTTGAGCGCTGCACGCTGCATGAATTTTAATAAGTGGTGCCACACCATGTGGAGCTATTTAACACTAAGAGAAAAGTCTGAAATCGCGTCAGTCAATTGCGAAACATGAAAGGGTCTACAATTGGAGATAGCGACGCGAGCAATGTCGCTGACAGGATGATGACGTTGCACACAAAACCCAATAGCAGTGGGCGTCCAATTTGTGTGCTGGCTTTGCCACTTCTCTTGTTGTGGCTACTGCTCTGCTTGACCATTGACGAAAGTGTGGGCGGCAAGACTACGACCATGTAAGTGTTTTGGATGTGATTGCGCAATACTTGTCTAGCCAAACGACTTTCACCTAAACTGCGACGGCGCACTTCCTGTATTGCCATTGTATAGTGTGCGTCATACGGATACAGCGGATCCAGATTTGGACGGCTTCTGGACAAATAGGACCACCTGGAATGCGCGCTGGGTGAAATACTGGCGGGCCAAACGCATTTACGAGCCGGTTTGGAAGAAAGTGTGGACACCTACCATATTAACCGAGTGGGTGCCGCTGCCCAATGCGCCGGCACCGGATGCCTGGGAGGAGCAAAAGCAGGATAAACTGTAGCTGCACTCGAGCTTGGCCTGAAAGACTGACAACTATTATTAAGTATTTATTTATTTGTTTATTTATTTATTTGTTAATTAAACGCTGTTTTATGTCTACTGATAATTTAAATGGTTGCCAATAGCAAAATGAAGGCCTTACTAGCTAGCGACTGGTTTACAACTATTTACAAGGAGCTTGGAACTGGGCGTGTGGCATTTGCTCATATTATTATACATATATATATTCAGAGGCGTCCTACGCGCCCGGAAACTTAAATGGCTGTGTTGTGGCACCGTCGGCAGCAACGGCTGCCGTTGATTTGGCTGCCTCCAGCGTTTTAGCTTGGAAATCTGCACTGGTCACCGGCTGTAGTTGCGTTGGCTTTGCGCCTGCTGCGTTGCTGTCATCGCGTTTCCACACAACTTTGTCATTTGATTTGGCGTCCGCGGTATCTTTGCGATCCCAGCCAATATCGTGATGGTGATCGTGATGGTGATCGGGTGTGGGGAACCATTCGGAGATAACAACTGGCTTCCAGATTTTCTTCCAGCCAGGCACCCAAATTTCCTTCCAGCCAGGCACCCAGATCTGTTTCCATGCTTCCTTCCACTCCAGTTTGTCGTTCCAGATTTGCTTTTTGCCTGGTTTCCAGTACTGTTTCCACGCTTCCTTCCATTCCAGCTTCTTATCAGGCACCCAGATTTGTTTCTTGGCTGGCTTCCAGATTTTCTTCCAATGTGATTTCCAGACAACTTTCTTCTTCCACAAATCGTGGCTAGTATATTCCCAACCCTCGTGATCCTTGCCCAAAAACTTTTCGCCGGGAATGCCAACCTGAAGAAATTTAAATAGATAAAAAAAATTCCTAGTTGGTTTTTTGAAATGTTGAACTTTACCTTGACTAGTTCGGGTGTCCAATACTGCTTCCAATCGGGAACCTGAATATCCTTCCATGCGGGCACCAAAATCTCTTTCCAATGGGGCACCTTTGATAAAATATGTGTGAGTTATAGAAAACTTAAAAAAAAATAACGTGCCTGCTGTGACTTACCCATATTTGCTTCCATGCGGGCACCTGAATCTCCTTCCAGCCAGGCACCTTAACCCAATGTGGCTTGTATATCTGCAAATAACAATAAAGATCTTAGTTAAGGAATGCCACTAAATATGTTGAAGCACTCACCTTTTTCCACGATGGATTCCAGATTTGTTTCTTGGCTGGATTCCATATCTTCTTCCAGCCCTCCTTCCACGTGACTTTCTTCTTCCAATAGCCCGGATCGTGATGTTCGTGGTGCTCATGGTGCACATGCTCGTGTATGTGATGCTCATCAATGCCGACATCGAGACCGAGGCCAAAGTGGCCGATACGCTGTTGTGCGACGCTCTTGCCGCTTACCTGAGACTCGGCTGTCTGTTGATCTCCCACAGCTTTGGCATGGCTGCCTCCGGTGGCCACAGAGAGCGCACCGAGCAGGCCCAACTGCAAGCGAAGCAAAATCGGTTTAGTGTTAGTCAATCAAACAAAAGACTTAGGCAACGAACTTGCCCACTTGGGGATCAACGCGAATTCGCAACGATTATGTTAATTAATTAAATATTCTTCATGTGAAGCGTAAAAACCAAAAACGGGTTTTAACTGGGTCAGCGAGTCGTCGACTCATTTTGTCCCATTCTCCAGGTATTGTTGTTGCTGTTTTTTTTTTGCATTGTTTGGGCTGAAAGTCCATTGACAGTGAGACAAAAAGTAAGAGTGAAATGTTGCGTCAGTGTGTTTTTATTTAAATATGGCAGTTCAACTTGATGAAGCCTGACCTGACTGTAGGTCACAATGACATTGTGTTTTTATGGAATTAGTTTTTGGGCCTGGCCTCTTTCTTTATGTGGCTAAAAATATTGTGTTTTCATTATGCAAATTTTTTGGGATCTGTTCGATTCGTTGGCGTTGGCGTCACCGCTGTTGCAAGTATAAAGCTCTATGTTTGGTAGCGCTGGCGAGGTCAAAGCGTTTGGCGTTAATTTATTGTCAACTTTGGGCATGGGTATTTCACAAAATCATAATCTCTTAAATTTAAAAACCAATCAATCTGCGCACGATCCGATTATGAAATGGAAATTAGCGACCGGCAAAAAAATTATCTCATCACTTGCACTGAGGGTGCTAATTGTGGCCTAAAGTGTTGGGCTGTCGACTGCGTGCGTAGCTGGCTCAGATGTCGACTTAGCCACAATTTCCGCAGTCGGTTGGCAGTGAAAGTCACTTGCAAGTGATGCCGTCTGCTATCTTGGCTCGACTAGTTTCTGCTGCGCGTTGGATCATCGATCGTGAGGGAAAAGAGCCCATTGCAATTCGAAGGCGAAGCGCTAATGAAAACATAGCGATGTCATATTTGTGCGCTTTTAATTGTTGACAATGCGTCTCAAAGCGATTGAAAAGGCCACAAAGTTGGAAAAGAAGAAAATATCGTGCTGTTGACAGGCGACAATTATCTAGGAAGGAAAGTGTACAAGTTGGAAAATTGATTATGGAAATTAGCTTGACACGCATTCAATATTTTCAGTCCAGGTGCAAATTTTTAACCATACACCTAAGCATAATGGTTTCCTAAACATCCTATGAGATAAGTAAGCAATAATATACAATAATCACTTGTGAAATACAAAAGAGTTTTGATTTTTTGCTTATAAGTTTTCTATGAAGATTATACTTTTGTTATAAATAAATAAATAGATACCAATTTTGTTGTCTGCCTAACATTTAATATAAACTAATATAAATTATAAGCTGCAGACTAATGTTAGCTATTTTCTTTCGAATCATTTATTAGATCTTTATTAGATCATTCAATATAACTTTCCACAAATATTTCAAATTGATTATAAATATTATTGAACAACAAAAATAGGCTCTGAAATAATAAATTTCGAAGCGTATCAATCAACTTTAATGAGTGATCAAATTGAATTACTATTGAAGAATCAAGAAAACAGATTTAAGGTAATTATTTATTTAATTGCGTAGTAATGACGTATAGTAATTGCTTCACTATGCCTAAAATATGAATATTGTACGCATTAAATTACTTTCTTCACATCGCACATTTAAAGCCCAAACTAAGTTTGAATTTTGCAATGTTCAACATTGCTGAAAGAAACATGTGAAGCATGCCGTCATAATTTACATATATTTCCATATATGTGCTCATCTTTGTCGCAGTGTCGTAAACAAATTGTACGCATCTATTATAAAACTGCACTTAACTGACAAAATTGTATTCCATTAGCTTCACTTGGCTGGCTAAACCAAGATAAAAACAATAAAACCAACAACAGCAACATCAACATCAACAACACATGCATTTCACACTATCTTTCCCAGTCGCTGACACAGTTGGTAATTACCACAAAATGCCGCTGGATCCTCATGGCTCCCGCTTAACGTAGTGTTGGGTAGTTGGCCCTACACCAAAATGGTAACACAAATTCACTTGGACTAAGACAAAGATACGAGTTCAACTCCTTTCGGGGGCACCACTCGCTTGGTGGGCAACGCGCGCAACTTTCTGGGCCACTTTCGTGGAACTGACTGTCGCATTATAGATTGGGCAGCCAGGTTAAATAGACGGCGGCGCACAGGTGCTGCCAGCGCCAAGAAATGTGAAATGAGAGCGCCAACGAAAACGAAAACGAAAACAAAAACGAGAGCGTCTCGCTGCATAAGCCGAAGACCTTGAATTCTGATAACGGTTTCGTGTGTAAACAATAATAACACAGCCGAGAGCTTTTCGCTTGTGCGTTAAAAAGCTCCGTTGGAGAGCACAGAGAGTCGTGCCGGCAATATCTCCTCCACTCCTCTCTCTATCTCTCTCTCTCGTATTCGCATTTGATGTTGATCGCGACGTGACTGCAGCCCGAAGGCGTTGAGAAGGCGGGGTGTGAACCAGCTGCAGGCGCTGATCCAAATTTTGTAATCACAGCCGCAGCTTATGGCAATAAATGCCATAAATCTTAATGAAAAAATAAAGCCAAAATGACAATAATAACAACAACAGCAACAACAACATTGGCGCAATGCAAATTAATAGCACGAAGTGGAAAATCAACGAAAGCAATAATTGTATGGCAACAATGCGTGTATCTTTAGTTGTTGGCTTATATCTAAATATCTATTATGCATATATTTCTCCATTTGTTTACTGCTGCTGCTGATTTTTTTTAAATTTATTTTATTTTTTTGGGGGAATTCTTGTTCAATAATGACGACACGAAGGCCGTCACGTTCGTGAGGCGTTGGTGATGTGCACACAGTGGCACTGGAACCATCGACTGGGTGGGCACTCTAGGGACTGGGCACTGTTTAGGCCAATTAGTGATTTTTAATGTAATTTGTGAGCCATAGTTGGCGCTGTAACTCGGTTAAGGGCAATCGCTTGCGTTGCCTGCCAAATGGGATCTAAACAAGCCACAATTATAAACTTGTCCCCTGTCCACCTGCATTTTTGCATGTGCAACAATGTGGCAACAGTTGGCAACTCCTGCAATTAATCGCTTAGTGGCTTAAAGTTTTTCTATTTTTATATGTATTTCCTGCATCTTTTATTTCACTTTACACATATCTGAAAACTCTAAAACATGCGGAATTCCATTCAAGCAGCGCTCTTTAAATGGTTGGCTACATTTCCAAAGCCAAGTTTACAATTGCATGTTGATTTAGTTTCAACAATTCGCCTGGTTTCTTGCCAATGAGCAGAGACTTGGCCAGTATCCGACTCAGTTCCAGGTTTCGCATGCGTGTGGCAGCGTGGTTCCGTTATAGTTAGGCTATATCGGTGGTCAAAACAGAAGGCAATAACTTATGCAACATGTTTAAGAAAATTGAAATCAATCAATTTTTAAATAAATTGTGTGTCTTAAAAGTGTTTATTGTCTATGTTAGTGGTATTCCCTGACAGCTATTTCCTCCTATTTCCTGCTCTTTTTAACATTTATTTCTGTCGATTTTAAGTCGATATAAATATCATTCATATTTAAAAGACTCAGTTTTGTAATAAAACTTGTAGCACGTGTTATAAACAAATAGCTAAGATGAAAGTAACCCATTGGTAATAATGCTACTCGGTTGGTATCATGGGCATCCCTCTGGCATTTAAAACAAATAAAAATGATTACATTTCCTCATTTTATTAGCCACATCTGCAAAGGCTTCGCTTAAGAGACATATTCCTATCTGTGACCATGCAGCTGCTCAAGGAGGAAATGAAACGACAGCGTCAGGCCACAGAGCCAGTTGAATGCACACGATTCGCACCAAATAAATACTAAACTAATATTAATATTCATTAAAGTGCGATTCATGTAAAACCTCGGCCAGCCAGCGCAGCATGCGTTTCAGGAAGTAGCCAACACGTTGGACAAAAGCCGCAGACTTGAGCCGAGCAACTGCAACTGGATCTGGAACTGGATGCCAGTGCAAATGAAATGCGTAACAAGATAAAGACGATGTCTGACGATGATGACAGACTTGAGTGTTTGATGCATGGCAATGGTCCCGCGACTTATGTCTGTCCATATTCATGGCTTATTTTATGTGGCACGATAGTCTGGATGTGATGTGTTATGGCAGGCGTTGCATTTAACGATGACGATGATGATGATGACGATGATAAACCTGATGCGAGCAGCCGTTGAGCCACTTTTACTTTTCCGACACTGCGCCAAATTCAAACAGCTTGTTTGTTCATCATTTATTTTTGTATTCCAGGCATATGGTTTGGCCAATTGCTGGCCATATCGTGGCAGTAATCAGTCACAGTGTGTTAACTATTTGGGAGCCTATGTGTGTGTTAGTGTGGGATTGTGTCTGTGCTGCATTTTGGAATGCACTTCCTGCACTTTGCCCAAATTGAATTTCCAGAAAGATTGCAGAGATTAGCCAATCGCTGGCGTGGGCGTGTGCCAAGTAGATAACTCAAACAGCGAGGGGACACACTTTGAAGAAAAGGCATTGGGGGCGTGGCAACAGTTTAATTTACATACATGTGAATAAATCGCATATTTGTTTGTGGCACCTTTATTGTAGTCTGTCTCGAGGCTGCGTCTGCGCCTTTTACTTCCGATTGACACTTGGCTTCCTGTTCGGTGACCAAAATAAGCAAATGCCGCTTTTTGGGCATCTGACTGAACCACTTTGGCGTTACGATTACAGACATGCGGACAAGTCAAAAAACTCAGACGCACCTAAGCCAATCGACATATTGTTGCGGTAGTTGCGATTTTACTTGTTGTTGCTGCAGCTGCTGTGCACTTTTATGGCAACTTTGACTGGCAAGCAGATTGTAGCATTTTAATTATACGCCCGTTGCGCCTACTTCCCCATCTGCAACGATATTCGCGCTCCAACTTCCCCAACATTGACCATTAAACAGCTGCCTCAAGTTCACCAAGTTTAACGACACGAACTTACTCATCGGCAAGTTTCAGCCTCAAGGTCACACAAGGTAATTCTCTTTTGAAAGAGCAACACAAGACTTAAGACTTGTAAAATATTTTACAGCTGCCTCAATGACACACAAATTTTATAATAACACAAATTCCTTAAGTGCCTGGAAAAATTAGAGCAAAAAGGTTTAGAATACTATCTGACATATTCGAGTTTGAGCTTCGACTTGAGCTGCCACCGTGTTTGAGTTAAGCATCGAGTTAATGTTGCATACGCTCTCAAGGTCACAATCAAATGCAATTTCAGTTTGACCCCAATCGGCTGTGGCAACCAAAATGACTTTGAACACAAACTCGCCGCCAGCCAAACAATTGAATTGTCATAGAAATTTCAAATCACGTCCCATTCAATAAACAAAGCGAACTGCATGAATTATGTCTTTATGCCTTTATGACTCGCATTTGCATACCAAACTGAAAGCGAACCGAGCAACAACAATGAAGGAGGAGCTCACAGCTCATTTGACAAGAAAATAAATACAACGAGACGCACGGGCGCCAAATCCAAACGGAAATGCAAGTCGCTATTTAAGTATATGTATTATTTGGTATTATGACTGATGAAACTGGTTCTTTTTGGTTGGCGTGCGTTGACCGTTTAGCAATTAATTGCGCAATCATTATGGCCATGGGACATTGTACCGTTGCCAACTAGGAAATCAAAACACCAAGGGCTCGGGTTAACTTTTTACCGACTACTGCGGATTATTTATTTGCAAATTCGATTTGGCTTTGATTTTAAATAATTTATTTGCTTAACTTTAAATATACAGTTTAAATAGTTGCACCCGACTGAGTTGGTCGGTCAGTGAGTCAGTTACAGACACGCTTGCCAATTGTGGACTACATGCAAAACGACCAAAAAGCCACTGCTGATTGTATAATTCAAATGTGCAGGCAGCAGTCGCTGAAAAATGAGAAGAAAAGTCGACTAACTTATTTACCACTGCTTCCATTTAGTTCAATTTGGCAGCTCAACGAGGCACGAAACAACAATGCTTTGCAAGTTGCCAGCTGCAGTGGCCGCTTCATCGACTGCCGGGTCATTTTTTATACATCAATAACAATGTGTTTCCAAGGGGTGCACCACAGTTCGTTGCTTAAGTCTTTTGCTCTATTAATTTCTCGTCGCAGCCAGCTTTTAGTTGCCTAACAAATGTGTAGCATACTTTTAGGTGGGACTTAATTGGCTTGCATAGTGTTGCTGTAGGTGGCGTCTGCTAACAAGCTTAATAGTTTTAAGTGTAGATGGCGTTCAGCATTCATTCATTTGTTGAATATTGCTTGCCTATAATACTTAATCAATGAATGCAAATTTTCTTACTATATTTGCAATATTTATATATGTTTTGTAATGTTAAACTTGTTAAATACCGTTTGAATACATTTTTGGAATAATTGAAAAAAACATAAATTTGTTATTCATTTATTAAAAGAAATTCATGCCATATTTTTGGTTTGTTTTGATATTGGATCGTATCAAATATTTTCGCAGCATCGCCTTTGAAATTAGAATCAGACTCAGAATATTAATATGCATTCAGTCATAAAAAAATGAGAAACAAATTTGATTTACTACGTTGGCTTAAATAAATCAAAATTGCATAATGCATAACTATGCTTGATCAATGTTAATAAATGCAGGTGGCGAAATGAACAATTTGTCAACACTTTAAGCTGCACGTAATTGAGTAGTATTTAAGATAAATTCATAGCGCCCATTAATATAACATTTATATTCAGATAACGATGCTGTGAAACACCTCGTCAAACCACTTAATATTATGTGGCTGGTAGTAAAGCTCGCAAAATAATAAAAACAATTGCGATGCCGCCTAACAATTGCACATTGTCTCCCCTTCAGAGGAGCTGCATAACAAAAATTACAACATGCTAATATTGAAGAAGGCAAACAGATAGAAAAAATGTGAAAAAATTGCAAATAGAAAAAAAGATCAGTCAAACGTTAAAGCGACAAGCGGCCAACGACAAACTAGCTACTACTGGCCACTGGAGTAGGAGTGAGACAGAGTGGTTTGTGGGGCGAAAGGGGGGATGGAGCTTCGAGCAGTGCATGACAAAGCAGGCGTCACATATTGGCCATTTAGTGTATCAGCTGAGAGACGGCCAACTGCTAACTGGTTAATAATAATGCAGCTCGAGGAAGTCGTAAACTGCAATTGCGTTGAAGCGCTGTAATAAATACACTGGCCCCTGTTCCCTGCCCCCTCACGAACCCTGGAGACTCGAGAAACGGAGAGAATAGAGATATAAATAAAGAGGCCAAACAACACAAATGTAACAAAACAATGATTGACAACAAATTCCATTTGCATTTAATGAATGAAACTACAACGTCACAGCAATGGAGGCGTGCCAACAGCAGCTGGCCCAATTTGGTTAACGAAATTAACTTGGACCAGTTTTGATTCGGAGTACTTACTTTTTTTGCAATTAAATACATGTACATATACTTAAATATGACAAAAATTTGTAGCGTGATATGTGCTGTTATTTAGTCTATTTTGTTTGCTTTTGATTCCGCTATTACATGTGGGCATATGTCGGCTTAATATAGTGACGAGCTTTTCTATTTAATTATAGTTTATTCTTATATAACGGTTTTTCTTCGATATAGCTTCGATATTTGTGCCATATTTATTATTCTCTATAAAGTTTTGTCTTCATAAATAAATAATTGACCTGACTTGAGTTGCACAGCATTTGACAAGTCGTACAACTAATACGTAAGACATCTTATGTCAGACCAACAAAGAGAAATAGCGAAAGAGTTTATATATAGCTATTTAACCTAATATTTAAAAACTGCTTAAATTGTCATTGTGGGTTGTATCCTCTTGATTTACTTGAGTTACTCAGCCAAATATTCTGCTCAATAAATTTCGCGATAACCGATTTTCCTTATGATATCTTGACGCATGACATAACAAGTTTGTTGCCTAAGTCATTTGTTTAAGCGCAAATGTGCTCGAGCTATTTGTAGCATATACTTAGAGCTTATGCTACGTATGCCAAAAGCTATGCTCACACATATATAATCTGCATGGGTTGACAACGCAATCGTGGTCGCCTTTTAATTGTTTTTACCTTCCCACATGTCAGCATTAGGTGTGGGTTGCCATTTCGCTATGTCATGGATATGTTGCGACTGTTGTGGCTGCTGCATGATTACTACATTTCTTTCATCACTGAGTGACGACCTTGCTGCTAAGCTTAATGACAAATTGGACTGCTCCAGTTCTGCACACACACACACACACACAGACAAAATCAATGGCCCACATGCACTGCAGAGTCGGCACAGATCAACTCAGTGGCAGCGGCATAAACTTAATCTGCAGCTGATGCGTGCAACAACCTCTTGCCGCTTCACGCTTCGCAGCAAACACTTCAAGCAACTCACGTGCCTCTCTCGCTGTGTCTCCTTCCCACTTTTGCGGCTTGCTGTCGTCGCTCTTGTTGTGGCTGCTGCTGCTGTTGTTGTTGTCTTGAACCTGAGCAGCGGCTCGAGATAAATATAAACATAAATAAATAAATATTTCAGGCGTTGTGTGTCTGTGTAAATAAAAGATTTATTACACTAAACATTTTTCGTTTTATTATAACATATTATTATTATTTTTTTTTTTATTTTGCTTTCGTTTCTTTTTCCGTCTTTTTGTTGTTTATCAAATTTATTTTTATTACTTCTTTTCAATTTACGTTTCGGATCCGTTCGTTTTGTTTTGTTATTGTGCGGCTTGTGCAATGCGGCGGTGGCTGCTGCTGCAACAGTTAAAACAAAAGCAACAATAATAACAACAACAACAGTTGGTGACTGCGGCTTGCTTCACTTGTGCGTAAATTGTTTGCTTGTTGCTGCTGTTGTTGATTTCTTGCCGGGTATTTGTCCAGTTTATTGTTGTTGCTTTAAACATTTGAATTTTGCATGACATAAAGAAAAAAATCAAACGGCGCGAAGCTGTGCGCAATTTGCAACTGCGTTGATTGACAGCTCATCAAAAATGATATTACGCATACGCCGGGTGTAGCGCGAAGGCGATGAAGTTAAGAGATTAGCTGCACTGAAGCGGGTACTTGAATTAAGGGCTATAGCCAGTAAGCACTCGCAATGACAAACAGCTTGATTACGCTCGAGGTAACATGCCTGTGTGTGCAACAGCAGCAGCAACAACAACAACGACACCAATTAAAACAAAGACATGAAACATTTTGTAAAACAGACAAAGAAAAGCCGCAGCCAATTGAAAAAACAACCCAACTGAATTTTACATTTTTGCATAATGCAACTATTCACAATGCAACTCGTCCATTTTGAAGTTTTCAGTTTTGGAGTTTTGCTTTAAGTTATGGAAATTGATTTGAAATCATGTCACAGCTTTTTTATTTTGGCATTGTGTTGATCTTGACAGTCATTGATTTCATAGGGTGTCAACATTGATTGTTTCCAAATAATTGATGACAAGTGGAGTTTCCCTCACTAAACGATACATTAGGGAAAATGCTTTAACTCAATAAAAATTATAACATAACTCTAGTGAAAGTAAAGAAAGTTTGTAAGTTTGTAAGCTCCTTTGCAAGTTACTTAATTTTCAATAACTATTCTGCTACTTGGAGTAGAATCAGTATCGATTCTCTAGTTAAAATGCCAATAGTTCCCTATAATAGCAAATTAATATTTAAAGTCTTTATGATTCCCATAACTTGATTTACTATGGATTTATTTTAACAAATATATTTAATCCCTATTCGGAGCTAATATCACATAATACTCTCACATTATGTGTCCAAATGTGATATGGCTTAAATACGTTTTGCCACGCCCACCAATTAAATTGCCGCCACAACAAATTGGGCGTGCAGCGTTAATGTGTCGGATGAGCTAAGTCGCATTATTAAAAACAAAGAGAGAAATTTCTTTCGTCTCGCTTCTTCCTAAATGTTTGCTTGAACTCGAACTTATGCCTGCATGTTTTCCATGTTGTTGTTGCTGGTGTGGCAGAGTTACCTAATCGTTGCAACTGTGGCGTCTGGTGTCTAGTTTTGGTATTGACTGCAAAGACAACGACACCAGCAGCAGCAGCTGCTGCAAGTTGCTTCCTCGGCTGCTGACGCCGCTGGCTGCTAAGTAGACCTGCCTACAACTTCGTATGTAAGCCAAACAGCTGTCTGCTCTGGGTGGGTGGAAAAGGGGGGTAAGTGTTTTACTTATGTCGGTAACGGTTTTTTTTCTTGGTTTTTCTTCTTTTTTTTTGGCACACAGACACAGAGAAGCGAGTCGAGTCAATTAAAGCAATATGTTGCAACAGCGGCGACCGAGTGACTTGGACTTCAGTTTGAATGCAGCTGCAAGGCAGGGAAGGCACTTGCTCCATTCCCCTCATCCCCGCCCCCCACCACGCCTCTTCCTCACCAACCCTCTGTTAGCCCTAAACCGCAACTGCATTCAGCATTCAACTTGAACAGGAAGTGAGGCGTTATTGTTGCTGCTTATCTGGCTGATGATGAGATGCTTCCTTGAGATTTATTTGGCATCAGCATCGGATGCACACAGTTTGCAGTTGCAAGTTGCAAGTTGTAATCGCAATCGCTTTGCGGCAAGTTCATATGCATTGGCTTTGGCTCTTGACTATGGCTTGTTGCCTGTTGGCTATTGGCTGTTGGCCTCCCGCAGTATGATATTGCTGACTGATGCTGCAACAATCGTGCAAAAAAACTTGCCCCTTTCGGTTGGATTCGTTTCGTTGCGAGTGCTGCATCGGCGATGGCGGGGTGCGACGCATACCTAAACTCAACTTCCGCGTGTCATGCGGCCCGAAACTTTATGAGTTGCATCTTCGGCTTAATGGCCATCTAATGGCAAATGGGAATGGCAATGGTTGATCATGCCGCGGATGCTCTTGCGCAATCCATCTGGCCAATGAAAGTAAAAGGGAGCTGGAGCCCGATTTCATCACATTGGCACTTGGGAAGTTTTCAATTTTCAAGTACATTGCCTCAAGTGATGAAATCTTAAGTATATGGTCCATAATTAAAAGTGAATTTCAGTTGTTTTTTATTGTTTTATTTTTATTTTTTATGATTTTTGTATTTTTATCTTTTCGCATTACATAAAATTTTGTACAATAGTTTATGATTTGAATTATGATCATGTTTATGATTTTCGCTTAAGGTACATATTTACAAACCTTCAACATTGTTTTCTTTTTTTTATTGTATTTTTTGCTTCTTTTAATATATAATTTTTGAGATTCATTCTTCATTGAAGTTGAATTTCAGTGGCAAATCCAAAGGGCCAATTAATAAATTTGAATAACTTCAAGACAAACGCGAGCATGACTAATTTGTACACTTAAGATATAGAACGAGTGAGAGATAGAGATAGAGACATAGAGGAGGAATTTTGGGAAAATGAATGGAATGGAAAAATGGGTAAAAATTTGTCAGCGAAATGCATTCGGTGTATGTTGGTTTTGGAATGAATGATATATACCAATGCAGACTTATATAAGTATTAACAATTGTAGCCAAAATAAAATTGAGAATTATTTATTTTGGGTTTGGGTTATCAACTGGTGGCCAGGGGCAGTTATCAGATATATCAGTGCTGTCGCATAGTTCTGCGATATGTTGGGCTTTTCAGGGAGCAATTAATTAGTCCCAGCCATGTCCGTGGTGGCTAATTGGCACCCAGACCTTTTCCCACACTGGCTTCCATACCTTCTTCCATTCCTGCACCTTGACCTCCTTCCAGACGGGCACCTGTTTTGATTGCCATTCATCCTTCCACGCCTGCTTCTTCTCGGTGGCCCAGACTTGTTTCTTTTCGGTGCGCCAGATCTGTACCTTCTCCTCTACCCACGTTTCGCGCTTCTCCTTGATCCAGATTTGTTTCTTTGAGTTCTTCCACACTTGCACCCATTCGTCTTTCCATTCCAGTTTCTTGTCCTGCTTCCACTCTTGCACCTTCTCCGTTTTCCATTCTTGCACCTTTTCGGTACGCCATTCCTCCTTCTTCTCGGTGCGCCACTCCTGTTTCTTTTCGGTGCGCCAGACCTTCTTCCACACGGGCTTCCACACGAGCTTCTTGCGCCACAGATCATGACTGGTGTACTCCCAGCCCTCGTGATCTTTGCCCAGGAACTTTTCGCCAGGAATGCCCATTTTAACCTTTGGTTAATGAATAGCAGAAGATTTGGATCAGGATTAGATTTTTGGGTTTTTTACATTTTGGTGTTGACATCTTACCCATTGTGGCTCGAACATTTGCTTCCAGTCAGCGACCTGTACTTCCTTCCACACTGGCACCTGGATATCCTTCCAGAAGGGCACTTGGATTTCCTTCCAGACGGGCACCTTGATTTCCTTCCAAACGGCCACCTTGGTGGGCACCCAAATGGGTTTCGTTACCTTCTTCCACTCGGCCACCTTAACGTCTTTCCAGGCGGGCACTTCCCGTTCCTCAATTTTTGGCTTCTTCACGATTTTCCAGTCGGGCACTTGTTCCTCTTTCCAAACGGGCACCTATGCACCATGCACATCTTTGTTTAATTTGGAATCCAGTGTGTGCCTGACTCCATCTGCTTACCTGAACTTCCTTCCATATTGGCACCGAAACCTTCTTCCATTTCGTTTCCCATGCCTCTTTCTTCACCGTCTTCCACACTTGCACCCAATCCTCCTTCCACGTTAATTTCTTCTTCCACTCCCCTTGGGGCGGATGGGCGTAGGCAATGCTAAGGATTAGCGCGCAGCTGGCGCTAAGTAGCTGTGGACGGCAGAAAATCGCACAGAATCAATTAGACAAACTTTCCATTTCGAAGAATTTTCAAATTACAAATCACTTGTCGTATTAAGTAATTGTTGTTGCTTTTAGCAAATGCACATTTTATTCACTCGAAAATCTTGCGTATTAAAATGATGTTTTTGCTTAGTACAGGACTTAAACAATATGCACAGTTGTTATTATTTAACGAATTATTATTTAACGCAGCACTAACCAATAAACTGAGGGATCTCATGCTTGGAATCCCTGTACCACCAACAGCGCGTTAAAACAAAAGAGCTGAAATGTGCCTCCGCTGAGGTCTTCTATGAACACTATTCGCATTTCCCTACATGCACATCTATTTATATTTTGAATGCGAAGCTCCAAAGAAACGCAGCGACGCCAACCGCGCAGCAGCAAAAAGAGCAACACTTTTTTTGGGTAAAAAACACACACACACACACTGCAAACGGTCGCAGTAGCAGCGACGCCAACAACAACTCTTTGGTCTGCAACTATGTCTATCTGCAGGTACTACTGTGTATGTATGTGTGCGTGTGTCTGTGTGTGTGTGTGTGGGGACACGGTCGAGCCGCTGCTGCTGCTGCAAAGCTCTGCTCAGGCAGAGTTACAGTCACACAGCTTCAGCTTGAGCTTTAGTCTCGGCTCAAAGCGCTCGCTTGTGCAAAATGCACGCAACTGCTGAGAATGCCAACGTTGACGCCGACGCGAGCGTCGCTGCCAACGTCACTGAAAGCGAAAGATAAAGAGTGAGAGTAAAGCAGAGCCAGACTCGGAGTGAGAGCGCGCTCAGACTTGCCGTTTGTTTTGTCTTGTGCTGTGTGTGTGTGTGTGCGATGACGACCCCAACTGACTGATGAATTGGACTCAGCCTGACGCTGACTGCTCGGATTTTCCCAAGGTAAAACTTAGCCAGTCGCAGCAGCCGACTGTAAAGTCGCAATCTTCAAATATTTGGACGCTTGCTCTTGGAGCCTCAAGTGTGCGTTGGCGCTTCTTGTAGATCTCAAGTGCAACTACATATGTATTATTTAAGTGTATGTGTGTGTGTGTGTGTGTGAGTGGCCCAGAGCTAGAATGGGTCGCCACATTCACGGATTGATGGACTGACTGCTAATTATGTTATTAATGATGATGTTGATGTTGACCAGCTGTTAATTGTCTGCGGGCCACTCCTCCATAAGGTCAATTGCTGCTGTGGGCGTCGGTGGCTGATACACTTAATGGTTAAGTGGCTACGTGCGTGCATTTTATACTACATGCTTAACTTGCTTAAACGCAACGTGAGTGACAAACAATTAGCATAGTTCGATTTTGTGGCCTGCGATTCGCCAAAAAAATGTGGCTACAAAGCGCCGACGGGCAAACAAAACCGACCTTCGCAACGGGACGTAGCATGAAGACGAGGGCACCAATAATAACAACAACAACAACAAATATGCTTCGATGGTGGTGGTTGTTGTGGAGGTGCTGGCGCCTCGCTTCAGTGGCTCTGGGGGCTAGCAATACAACAGCTTATAGTTGACTAGCACTAAATGGCATTTAACATATATTTTTGTGCATGTAAATAAGATGCGTGTTTTATGGCAGACCCTCAGCTGAAATGTCCATTATATAGTTTAATAAATGCACAATTAACACTCTTGGCCAGCTTGATGGTATTTCTGCTGCTGACCCGTTAGCTTATAAAACCAAATTGTATTAGTATCCCACTGCGCATACTAATTTTGAAGAGTATTTCATATTTATGCATGCGAAGAAATCACTTGACAAAAGTTCTACAAATTTGAGTTATTGGTATATAGGCAGATCGGGTGTGGCTATGCCACAACAGCCTCATAAATAATATGCAAAATTAAAATTGACAGTGTCCACATAAAGCACAATGTCCACAACAAGTAGCGGCGTCAACAGCAGCCACAGCAGAAACAACAACAGCAGAAAAGGCAGCGGCACTTGTTACATCACAGCGGGGCGGGCGGGCAAAGAGAGTTGCATGAAATTGCAGTTGCGGCCTTCAATGCAAAAAATAAAGAAAAGAAGCAAACAACAGAAAGACGAAAGACGAAAAGGCGAATTTAGCCAGCGCCGACGACATGTTAAACACATTGAAAACAACAACAACAAAAAAAAGAAGCGAACCAAAAAACCAACAAAAAGAAGTTAACCAAAAAACCCGAAACTTGAAATTAGGTAAAAACACACAGTGCGCAAATCGAGAAAATAATGAAGAATGTGCAACGTCACCAACAATAAGAGTCAAAGCGTAACTGGGCCCAGACCAAGGTACAGGCAAAGGTACAGGCACAGCCAAAGTTTCAGGCCGGGCTTAAAGCACTCACTCTTGCATGCGGGTGCGTGTGTGCGCATGTGTGTGTGCCTATGTGTGTGTGTGTGTGTGTATTGTGTGTGTGCATGCGCAGTGGGTCCACTTGACTTGGTTTTGTTTCGGGTACCCACAAATGAAATGGAATGAAATTGAAATTGAAATTCGCGCTGCGTTCCCGAAGACAGCCCCGAAGACTCGTGCATCAAGTTTTTGGTTTTGTTTTCGCTTTTTTTTGTTTTTTGTTTTCGATTTTTTAATTTTTGGTTACAGTTTCAGTTGCTCTGGCGCGAAGATGTCGTGCACGCAGGCGCTGCAGGCGCCGTAAACACCTTTCGCCGGAGTTGGGACCGGGGCTCAAAACTGGAGTCCATGCCGGTTGCATAATTTATGGCATCTTTTCATTGATATCGACGTTTATTTAGGTTATGCATTGCCCGAGTTTCTGCATGTGGCATGTGGAACAAGTTTTTATTTTAATGACGGCCTGCTTGAGCGAAGGACTTCAGGACTATGGAAACTAACCATAAATGAAAGCATTCATTCGCATTGCAGTCAATTAAGTGGGAAAAATTATGTATTCAACTATTGTGAGCCAGATTGAGCGGCTAGATATTCTCTACTGGCTTTAGCCTTCATATTTTATGTACTTAAAAATAGTAAAGAAAATTCATTACTTATAATTAATATGAACAATGATTTCTTCAAATACTATGCGTAAATCTAAATGTTCTTGAAATTGTACTCTTTTTTTATTATGATACAAAATACATGTTTTAAATATCATATCAAGTGTATTTCTTGCTGGACTTACACAGAGGTCTAAGCACTGAATCTACTTTTAATTATTTTATTTATTTATTTATTTTAATTTATTTATAAATTTTCATACAAGTTTTTAAAGAACTTACAAACTAGTTTATTTGATGGGATTATAAATTAGGTTGCAATTCCTTTAAAATAAATATTTGGTTTTATATATATTATATAATCTTTAGGTTCAATTGCATACACTCAGCCGTTAATTGAGGTTTCCAAAGTCGGCCCACAATTTGTTTAACATATACCAGTCGAAGTGCAGACATACTCGGGAATGTTACAACATAAACAATGAAAAGTGACAAAGCACACTTTTGGCCTTCAATCAGTGTTTTAATGGGCACTAATCCCAAATGCGTCCACAATGCTAAGATTAAATCCCCACTTTCAAGCCTCTATTTAGGGGGCCACTTCCTGCTGCGTCATCGTCTTCGACATCGACATCGTCAATTGTAAGCGTATTTGACATATCGCGCCCATAATTTCATTGCTTACCTCTGCTTGCGGCGAACTTAACTACCCCAATTCGTTACGTGGTCGCGCATCATCGAACTGATGCTGCAGGTGCCACAACAGAAGACTTGTTTCGGGCTGGCTCAAGTGTTGATAGTAATGGTATTGTTACCACTCCTGCTCCGCTGACCCACATTTAGAGCGTAAATGAAATTACAGACGATCGCTGAAGCGCCCAAAAGCAGATTTCTTGACCAGTTGCATCATCTGCCGCCGTTCCAGGCCAGGCCAGGCCAGGCCAGATGCTGCCAATTAGTTGCGTTTTGTCAGCGCAATTTCAATTTAATGCTGCATTAATTGCTCAGGTACTCGCACACACACAAACACACATTCATTTGGACAATTGAAGACGAAGCGCCCGCCACAGGTGGTCGAGAAAAAAAAAATATTAAACACAAAAAGCACATTTTGTTGTGCAGCGACTCACATGATTTTTGTGGCCGGCTGTGTGGCATTAAGTGGATAAGCGAAATCGAAATCAAAACCCATAAGATTCATTCGGAGATCTACAGAAAAGTGAGTTTTGCACGCCAAGGTCGCCCGGATAGCAAATGCTGGACAGGCTGGTTAATAGCATCTTGTTTTTTGTATTTTATTTTGCTTCTCTGTTTTTTTTTTGCAGATCATACAATGCTGGAGACGAGTATTAACTGTTATTTATGGCAGATACAAGCGATTTGGCACTGTTGCAATAATGGCCATAAAGCAGAAGATGTCGGCAAGCCTACACGCAACATCGAGGCTAAGCCAGTGATTAAACACGGTTGGATATGCTCATTCGAGGCGTTGTCCTGCAATCGTTGCTCTTTTGGTTGCCAGACGGCCAAAAACCGGCTCAGTGGCTTAGTGGCTCAGTTTTACATACATATATACATGTATTTATTTTGATTTTTGGCCAAGAGAGTTGAGACTCAGCCCACAGGGTCCAGTCGGTAGTCGGTTGAAGCGGCAGTTGCGTAACCAGGTCTAGCAAACGAAGCCACAAGTCGAGACACTGTCAGAGGTCCCGCATTCCAATTTGCGTACCGTTGCAGCTGCACCCGAAGATTTCCTCATCTGCTATGAAGACACATGAAACGAGACTGCTGCGACGGGCAAATACAAATTTTGATAGCCATTTGACAAATATTGCTAATTAAACACCGATTGCCAGTGAAGACACCCACTGACTGCAGTGTTGCAGTGGCAAGCCTTCGGCTGTGAGCGGAAACTTCGTGGCCATCTTCCTGCAGCCGATAGAGACACAATTTCAAATTGCGCAATCGTCAACGACAACGGCAACGATGAACACCAATGGCGCTACTAACGGAAGATGCAACTATATTACGTCAGTTGCCACCAGCCAAACTTTCACATGCAGCACATTTCGCACATTCAGATTCCAATAAGCAAAATGATATTCGATTGCTGGTCTTAGTGCCCAACTCAGCTAACTTATGTGTGTGTGTGTGTGTGTGTGTGTGTGTGTGTGTGTGTATAAGTGCGTGAGTATGTATAGTTGTTACCCATTAACAAGTATGTTAATTCATTCATTGCATTTTTATGATATTTACTTGACTATCTGTTGTCTGTTGCAACGGCAACATCTGCGTGCAGTTTGTCGTGTGCCGCCTTTTTGTGATTTTTTCTTTCCACAAATTTGTAAGATTTTCACTGCTGTTCCGCTTGTGGCAGTCGTAGAAAAGGTGCTGCACAGTGGGCTTGCAACACAGATGCTTATCTTACCCCAGGTCTTCACATGGCAGACCACATGACCCTAGTTTTTCCACGCCAATTAGCAAGCATTCCCATTACATCTTTTACATAATATGATTTTGCTTAGATAAGGCTTAACATTTCGACAAAACCAAGAGAGTTTTGTTTATAATTTGTTTTGAAATTTGTAGAATCAGCTTTGATTTACTCGAATTTGTGTTGGAGTCTAGTCTGCAATAATTGTAAATGCACCGAAACTTAGTGGTAGTAAATTTTAATGGATTAGAAACATACCTAACCAATCCAGGAAATATTTGTATGTATGTATTTTTTAACTTTATAATTATATATAATTTATTTATTTATAGTGTTGGCTTACGATGGCAAGACTTAAGGCTTCATGTTGTCGCTTTTGCGGCAGAGGCCTTCGGCCAAATTATCATTCACGTTTTTTTCTTAATTATACTGACAGTAAATTTGCTGGTGAGCATAATTAATTATAGTTCCAACATTTTTGTATACTTTATTTCAGTCAGATTGTGCGAAATATCTTCATTGTAAACGTACTTAAAATGTATGCTGAGTTTTTGCTAGACTTGACAAATTGCTGCCAGTTTGCTCGACTTTAACTCAATTGATTTAATTTAATTTCATTGAACAGTTGCCAGCTCTCATTTGTAGTTTGTAACTGTAGATGAATAACCTAATTTTCATATTGAAAATGCACACCACTGTTCCGACTTCAGTCTGTGGCATTTAAAAAATGTGTCTGTTTAGTTTGGCTAACTTAAGTCAGCTCTAGTCATTTGCCACACGTTGACAGGCAGCAGGCGACAACAACAACAACAATAATGACAACAAGGAAGTTGACAGTGCATCTTCCACGCGCGTCCAATTATGACAAATGGCAACAACAGCGATCCCTCCAACTCCAAAGTCTTGTTGCATGCCATGAGTACGAGGAACTGAATTATGGCTTGCAACACGCCTCCGTTTGCGTTTGGCAGCAGCAATTTCAATGGGACTATGGCATCGACATTGTCATTGTCGTTGCCACCAAAAGAAATAAATACCAATGTGTAACACAAAAGAAGTGGGTGCGAAATGTGTTTACGGCTTTTGGTAATAATGTGCTTTTACGATGGCTTGTTGCAATTCTCACCGTTGTCTATTGACCCACTGCACATTGTGGCTCCTGTGCTGAAGGCCAATTTGGTTTTTAGGTGACATAATATGGCAATTTGGCAAATGCGGAGCATCTATTTAAGTAGTTGATATTATTTGCCATCGCCCTCCGCTATTTATATGGCACGAGGCACGAGTCTCGCAATTTACGTGAGCTGCGTTATTTAGCATGGAGGGGCACGCCCCCGTCCAGTTTGCTTTTGCTGATGGCTGTCGTAATTGGTGGTCGCTGAAGAGATTGCAGCGTCATGGCAAACATTGTTTTATTACATTTGGGTCAACATCTATTTTGGATCGGATAATAAAATCTACACTACATAGTAATAATAATAATAATAATAATAATAATTGAAGTTGCTGCTTTCGATCATCTTCGGATGTATTATGAAATAGGCGCCGTTAATAATAGCGACCTTTTCACTATCAATTGCTGGCGCTAAGCGTTGTTACCACGGCAACAGAGGTGTCGATTAAATAATGAAGACGGCATTGAACTTCGAAAGCATCATAAATCGTTATCCATTAGTCGGCTAATACAAAAACATTTATTTCGATTTGATAGATAGTATGCCACTGAGCATTTGAGACTTCATTAAGTATACGTCATTTAAATTGTCGGAATATTTAACGGCTATCAACAACAATCAACTGAGTCATTTTCTGTGCAGACCTGATTGATTGACCAGATGCCTGGAATTGTATCATAATCTAATATATACTACTAATACTACTACTAATATATTAAATTAATGAATTAATGTTTATCTTCTTATCACTTTTCAAATCATTATCGATTATTCGTTCTGGTTTATTAACTGTTTTAGAAGCAAAAACAAGACCAGCTGCTAACAAAATTTTATATTATTTGTGTTTTATTGGTGTCACCTAAAAATTAAACAAATTTCACTAATTACATTGTACCAATTTCATACTTTTTTTTTCTCAGGTAGGCCGTTTGTTCTCCTTTCTATCTATGAAAGTTTCTTCTTATTATTCAGCTGTCGAGATTTGCTAATTGATAGCTGGAAGCCCTGGTCAACAATCTCCGCCCCCTTGGGCTTTTGAGAGTGTGCGAGGTGCACGTCATTAAAACTGGTACACGCAGGGGTCAAGATGCGTGCAACGCTCTTTATTTATGAGCTGGCCAGTTAACGGCTACCACCTGCAAGTCAGCACATCTACTTCCACTTCAGCTTCAGCTTCATCTTCAGTTTTGTTGCATAAGTTGAATCGCGACGTGACTCAGTTTTACTTTCCGCTCGCACGCAAACGGAACGTACACACAAACACACAAACATGCACATGCACACACATACGCACACAGTAATTTGAATTTACGTTTTCTAATAATTTTAATATATTTATGTGTGTGAACCAAAACAAGAGCCGTGTTGGGCGGCGCTCGTAAATCATCGAGTCTCGGTGTTTGGCTTGTTGTTAAAAGACAAAAGTGAAAATGTCATAAATTTATGACAGATGGATGTGCATGCGTATTATTAATTTTTATTTGATGAGTCAGCATCTTCATCATGGTTTTTGTTTTTGTTAAATCATTCAAATGTTATCAGGTCATGATTTCAACTTATTTTGCAATTTAACTAAAAGCCCAGTTCAAAAGCGCGCTTCAATTAGCGAAAGTCGCTTTTCAGCACTGGCTTCAAGCGAATCTTATAGCTATCTCCTTTACACATTTGAGGTTAATGCGGCTATTTGATGCCGCTTACGGCTATAAGTTAAAACGAGATGGCACTATATATGGGCACAGTTTGAGATGTATTGAACTTTCGGCAGTTAATTTTAAAATCAGCTCAGACTTGATTACGGGAAAAATGAGGTAATTCATTTCTGAGTTTGTTTAAAAATTGAATCATTTTTGTATTACCTGAGCTTCGGCTCCCGCCTGTTTAGCTGCACAGCTTAAATATATTTGCTGGCTTTTTTTGTTGTAAATAATCCTCCAATAGTGAGTAAATATTTCATTTGATTTACATTAATGTCTTTATTGGTTCATATTTACATTGACACACATTTAAGCTTAAGTAAATAAATCGATTGATTGATAAATACTAATGATCGTTATTGATTGACTTTAATTGAACCGCAGTTACGTCTAGGGACAAAATAATTTAAACATTTAATGTTACAATTAATGATTAGTGCTCGTTAGCATTGCATTTAACTACAAAGGTTTGTGAACGCATCATACTTGTATTTACTACTTGTGATGCTTATAAGCCTAAGTCTTCCTCTTCTACTTCATCTTCTTCTTTGTCGTGTTGCACGAAAACGCGTCTCAGCTGCAGTCCGTGTGGACTGCAGTGGAAAAGTGTTTTAGCTGGCTACTTAACTAATAAAATTACTACACCTAAATTGCATATTTACAGGCTCTGTGTAAAACTAGGACGGGGGCGGTAGGCGGTACGGGGGACGTCTCACTTCATGTAGTAACTGCTGGGCGCCCGACCCGATGTGTAGGTGCTGAGTGGTATGCCCTGTGGACCAGGTATATGGTTGTTGCCCGACGAGTGCGTCACTGACTGATTCTGTGAGCCATACAGGTGATCGACGCTGGTGTTGCCGATCCCATTGCCAGATGGCTCGTAATCCACATCATAGTAGATGCCCGACTGGTTCTGCAGAGTGCACAAAATATTGAATAGGGTTTTTGGATAAATGGAAGCGTGCACACTTACCGCTATGCTGCCGTTGCTGCGACTCTTTGGGCGTGGCACTTGAAAGTTGCGACCCAACAGATCTGCACGATCCTCCTCCTCACTGGAGCTGGAGTTTTCCAGCGCGCGCATACCACTTGCACGCGAACCCAGGCCGAGTCTTCTAATTGCAATTCAAATTCAGTTAAATACAAGTTTAAAGTGTTGTAGTCGAGAGTGCCCGACTAACAAATACCCTGTACACAATTAAATATAATTGTCTATATAATTACTATAGACAAATATATCCAGATAAAAACACCTGACTAGCAGATACCCTCTAATAACTATATAGATTTTCTTTCACAAATCTTGTAGTCTCTCGGATTAAGTATCTTTGACAAACAGACAAATATCTGGACGGACTTCTATATACACATATAAATAATCCACTTTATGGGATTGGAGATGGCTTCTTCTACATTTTCACAGCCTAACTATATCCATTGATGATGTGTACAGGGCATACAAGAATTGTGATTAAGTTTTTACCTGGGCAATGGCACTGGAGGCGCCATGCTGGCGCTCGGATGCATTTGCATGGTGCTCTGCATCGACATGCCACCAATGGTGCCCATGCCAATGGCTCCGATATTCGGATAAGCAAACATGGCCGACGAAGGTCGCGTTGGTCCAATGGGCTCCGCCTGCCAAGCAATAAACTTTTAAGATAAATGCGAGATTGAGCTACAAATTGAGCTTACCCCGTAATGATTCGTTTGTGCCATAACATCGGCGATCTGCGCCCAGCGCATGCGATCTTCCAGAGTTACCTGGTAGCCTGCCTGCGGTAAACCAGCTGATTTCAATGGTGCCGTATTCATGTAACCAAACACCGGGGAACCCATTGCATTCTTTTGCTCCCGCTGCCAGCGGCGTGACCACATTATGAGACAGACCAGAGTTAGCACTATGATGATGACAGCTGCCACAGATGCGCCAATGGCGACGCCCAACACCTCGCCATCGATCTCGCACTGTGCACCATAATGACTGGAGTCACAGGCACAGGACTGGGCACCCTCATCGTTGTAGCTGCAGATGCCACGATTATTGCAGTATGCATCCGGACACGACTGGCACTCGCGACCCGCCCGTTGCGGCTGATCGGCCCAGGGATCGCGCAGACCTGCTTCGCAGACGCACTGGAAGCTGCCCCAGCTATTGGTGCACGTCGCACTCGCATGACAATCGTTCAATTCAGGGGAATGGCATTCGTCCAGATCATGTAGCGCCGAAACGGCACCTTCGGGTGAACTCACATACAGCACCGAGTTGCCGATGTTATTGTTGCGACGATGCAGCACTCCGAGCAGATGCTTCTGCACATCGCTCCGTAGATTGGGACGCAGTGTCTCCACGCTCTCATCCAGCTGAAAATTGGGATGAGTTGGTAATTAGTGAAAGTTCAGTTTGATTTTATTGCTACTCACTTTAAGTGTCATATTCACATAGACCCCATTGCCGCCCAGATTGGGATCACCTCGATAGATATTGTTTACCTTGGCCTCCATAAACTCATCCGAATAGGGTGTCATCGACATGGCCGAGTCCAGCTGCGGAAATTTAGAATTAATATCAGCTGTAATAATGAAAATTTGTGGCTTACCGCGCGAACCGATTCGTAGCTCAGTTGTCCATAGGGTTCGCTATTGCGATCCATCAGCTTGTTGTCCCACACAATGCGATGCTCATAGATGCGATCAACGCGCATGCCCAAATGGAAGGATATAACACGACGACAAGGCTCGCGATGCTTGCGACGGGAGTAGCCTGTGAAAATGTCGTGGTATTAGTTAATCTTAATTAAAAATTTCCATAAATATATTATACTTGAACGAAACTCGCATTATTTTTCTTTTTAATATTATTCCTTACTACGTCTCTCACCTGGTCGACAATGACAGCTGGAGACACCGTTGTCCGTTTTGCAGCGTTCGTGTTGCGCCTGATCGCAGGTGGAATCATCGCCGACGATGCAAGTGTCAATTCTCACTGGTGGCTGTGTGGGTCGTTGGCGGTAGTGTGGTCGTGTGGGGCCCGCATTGGTTGTGGATGCAGCTACCGGCTTAGACTGACTTTGCGTTTGTCCCTGTCCCTGTCCGTGTCCATGTCCATGTCCTGGACTGGTGCCTGTATGTTGTTGCAGCTCGACAACCTCCGTTTCGGGCACCACATAACCGCCGCTGCTTTGCGTGACCGCATGTTGTGGTACATTACCAGCAGCAGCAGCAGCTCCACTACTTCCACCATTTGTACCACCGCTACCAACACCACTTCCGGTCGTTGTCGTGCCTGGCAATTGGGGCAGACGCGTTGCTGGCGATGTAGCGCCCGCGGGCGGATCTGTGGGATCACCAAATAAATTGATGTAAGTGCGTTTGCCATCGATCGAGACGAAGCCTTCGTCACCTGATGCCGACACTATGATGTCCGCCTGGTGTGCACCACTCCCTCCCCCAGCTGCTCCATAGGTTCCATATGGCTTGATGTTGATCGTTTGCTGGGAGCCGCTGCCCTTGGTTCCAGGTCCCTGAATTGCCGAGAGCGTCACATCAAAGATCTCACCATAACCGGGTGGCAGATGCTGCCGCGTGGGCTGTATCGGTTGCTGTGGTGCAGCGGGCCGTTGAGCGGGTCGTGGCCGACCGCCTGGCTTGAACTCGGGATCGTCCAGCACAATGCCGGGTCGGGGATGGTAAGGGGCGGCGGGAGCGGACGTCGGGGCATTAGCAGTGAGCGCTTTTTCAGTTGTGGTGGTAGTGGTGGTGGTAGTGGTAGATGAGGTAGATGAGGTGGTGCTAGTAGTAGTAGAAGTGGTTGTGGTAGAAGTGGTAGTCTTGGGTGATTTGGACGTAGGCACTATGACATCCGTAGCAAGCAGATCACTCAGCGGCATGGTCTGAATGCTGCTAGAGGATGATGATGACGATGAAGTGCTGCCATCCAGTCCGGGCGTGCGATTTGCCGTCATGAATATGACCTCCTCGGTAGAGGGATCCAGATCGTGGCCGCTGTCCATGGACATGGGCACATAACTGGAGGATATACCCATGACGGTGTTCACTACCGAGCTAGTCTCAATAATGGTCGTGTAGCCGGCGTGTTCAGCTTGCGGCTGCTTCTTCTTCTCCCCGCTGGGTTTTGGCTTGTGCTTCTTCTTGGGCGCATGCTCCTTAGACGGAGCAGTGGGCAAGGTTGCGGGAGCGGGAGACGACGACGGCTCTGGCGGCGGCTGCAATTCATCGCCAATCTCGCCGCCGGCCCCTGAGTCCTGGTCAGAGACTTCAATATACTGTGCGTTGGTATCCTCATTGGAGAACTCGGAGTCGTAGGTGGTGTCTGTCGGAGGCACGATGTCCATAGTATCACCAGCAGACTCCGTTTCATGATGATGCACCGGCGGCTGTTGCTGTTTTGAGTCCTCCGGCTGCACTGGCTCCGGTTCGGTTGGCCGCACGGGCAGCTGTTGTGGCATAGGCTGGTAATGGGGCAAAGGACGTCGACTGCCGTTGACGCTCGTTGTGATGGGTGGTCGTGGCTTGTTACGATACCAGGGCGGTCGATTGCTCACAAAGCCCGGACGCATGGGCACAATCTGCTCTGGTATGGGCACGCCCGTAATGAATGGTCGATCCGGTCGATCGAAAGGATAGGGCGGTGGGCGCATGGATGTGCCCGGCTTCTGTGCCTCATAGTCGATGGGCATCGGTTGCACGTCGGAAATGCGGGGAGGTCCACGATTATTAATGCGACTGGCGGATGGAGGACGACGCACACCCTGCGTATTGGCATGCACGTTGACATTGCCATTGAGCAGCTTCACTATGCCAGTGATGATGTCCTGGATGTCGGGATTGCCATTTTGGCGCGGACTATGGGGCGACAGTGTCGCACTGGCTGTCGAGATGGCAGTACTGCTCGGACTCGGGCTGATAGGGGACCCCGACGTAGGCGGTCGCAGGCCCCCTTGCACTAAAAAAGGCTGCTCAGTGCTGGCGGATGAGCCAGTGTCGGTAGAGCTGCTACTGCTGCTGCCACTTAAAGTTTTGCCAGCGCGAATGCGCTGCGTCCGCTCCGGCTGCTGCTGCTGCTCCTGGGAGTCATATGTGCCCGTAGGCTTGATATTGTAGTGAAAATAACGTCCGGCAGAGACATCCTTCTCGCTATCCTTGCCATAGCTAACATCATTGGGATGAGGCTGCTGCTGCTGTTCGTGTAAAATGGGCGAGGCTGAGCGCTCTACGCGTGCCTTCGTCTCGTTCTCCACCTGAGCAGAGCGCAGAGTATCCGAGATGGTGTTCGTATCGGTCATGGTGCTCTCAATGCTCAGTGATGCCGACTTCTCGCTGCTGGATTTCGGCGAGATCTGCGAGATGCCATCATGCTGGGCAACTGAAATCAGAAACAGAGAGAGAGAGAGAGAGAGGGAAAGAGAGAAGAGAGAGAGAGAAGTTAAAACTGGTGAAATTCTTCACATGCCAACCAAGCTTCAATTTCATTAATTATTGTTGCAGCGTTGCTTGCGTTTATCACAGTGAAAAGAATCTGATGCAGCTTTGCTGCCGCCTCCTGAAACAAAAGTAAAACGTGTTTCACTTTTCAGGTACGCCCCACCTGCCACAACAACTGCCACATGCCACATGCCACATGCCACATTTTGTTCAGGGCAGATCTTTGTCTTTGTCATGTGTACGAGTATTCTCCTATATTATGCACATTTGCATTTCTTAGAAATCCAAACCAACTGAGTGAGAGAGATTTCAGTTTCAGCCTTAGCTGGCAGGCATCATTTATTTTCGATGTCAAGTTTGTGTTTTCAGTCTTTTGTATTCTTTTCACTCTCATGTGTCTGCAATTGTATTTGTTTTAGCCCGCCTAGATAAACAAAACAACAAAAAAAACACATACACATGGCGACATCTGAAATTACTGGTTGACTTTTCATGCCAAGGCTGGCCAAACAAATATCTTTCGAGTCATACGATCATCTGTCACAGTCGTAAACGCATATTACTTGTTACCTTGCACCACCTTAAGCCACCAGCCCACAGATCTGCCCACCACAATTGCACTACCAACTCCAACTTTAGCGAGGCATTATAATCTCAATATACGAAACGAGAATTTCACAAATTGCTACGTGAAGCGTTGAAAATAAGCCAACTTATGCGCAATTGTTCATTGCTGGTATCTTATATATACATATATATATGTATATATATACATGTGGGTGTAAGAGAGCTAAGCATACTTATAAGATATATCTATTAGTGGGATGTGCATCTGTGCGGTCAATGAAAAATTGAAAAAACACTGCCAAATGGTCCACATTAAATTATTAAATTGTCAAAAAAAAGAGGAATGCAATTATTAAGTGTTTTTTTTTTCACTTTAATTATAACAATTAGCGATTAAATTTTATGTTTCTAATTGTCTAAATAACGCAATGTTAAATGAAAATTTATAGCGCATATAAAAAACTTAAGTTTCACACATTTATTCACGGATTTGCAGTGCTTTCTTTTTCGGGACTATCTAACAAGATAATGTCTACTGCAATTAACACCTGCTGATCTTCTTTGCTTTGACTCAGTCGAACTCAAACTCATGCCGCGGCGTGGCATTTAGCGCCCCCCGCCACGGATTCAATATAATGTTGCAGCAATTTCTAAATGCCAAGAGTTACGGGCTCTGACAGGCCAGAAGAGCGCTATAAATGTATATGCCTTCAAGTGTTTTTGTTACTTTAATACTTTCTTTTACTCTGCGTCTCTGCATGACTTATGTGCTGCGTTCATTGACTTGTCCCAGGAAAGAAGAATGCAGCCATAGACACAGACACAGTTACAGCCACAGCTTTAACTCCAACTTCAACTCCAACTGCAATTCTTCAGGTGTCAGGTGCAGAAGTTTGTCTGACATATTAGCGCGATGCCTTTCGACTTTGTGGCATAAGGTATTAAGAAGTGGGCGCAGTGGAACAAACAACCAGTTTAATAATGCTTTGAGTTTATGACGTTGCACATAATTCACACGCCAAAGCCAAATAAAACAAAAAGAAAATAAAAACACGTTTAGTTATTGAGCTTAACCCAAAATGCTAAGCGGTTTTCGTAGTGTTTCTTTTCTGATTAAGTTTTTTGGCACAGTTTTTACTTTCACCTCCAGGCGCTAAACTGGCGCAAAGGCAAAAAGCAAAAAGCGAAGAATAAACAAAATGCGAAACACACTGATTGATAACTGAAATAATATTTGTTTCACTTTCTATCAGCGCGATGGTTTCGATATAATTAGCGCTTCCTTTTGGAGCAAAACAAACAAACTGCCCATAAATATATATTTATATATATATATATTGTGTTCGAATTTTCACTTTCATTGGCAATTTTTCTCTTGTTTCTCTTGTTTTGCAACATATTTTCGTGCTATTATTGATATGATTTTGAATTTTATAGCAGGCTATAGTTGGCTAGGTAAAAGTGTCTGGCCAAAATGAAAATGTTGCCGCCAGCTAGTAAATTATACCACAAAGACAACAAGACAAGGTAAGGCAAAAGTAAGTAAATGTAACACAATTTTTATAAAATTGAAACTGTGGCATGCAACACTTTCACGGACAACGAAAGTAAAACTGTTAAATGAGCGGTCTTTTTAGTCAGCCAACTCCCTAACTGCGACGGATGCACAAGACCTGAAGACTTGGAGTTCAATGCACCAAATCAGAGACTTCATGACTTCAACTGTAGACGACAGACATCAGACAACAACGTTGACAACATCGACGACAAGAGAGTCATTAGTTCCAGCGCTTGCCTACACTAATTTAAACGCTACTTGAGCCCACGACAAGCACATCACAGGACAGAAAGACAGACAGAAGGCAACTCGACGACTCGCCGAGAAATGATTGCGAATTGGGTTTCGGGCTGCAGTCGAAGTCAATCGTAGCCCACATGCGGCAGCAAAATTGCCAATTTCAGCGCCTCCAAATTGCTGGCACTCGCCCGACAAGAAATCACTTTCTATTTCAACTGCTCAGACAGTAAAAACTGTTTCACAACTTGGTCAAAATAGCAACAACAAAAAAAAAAAATAGAAACAGAAGTAGATGGCACATAGTCTTTATATATGGTAGTTAGTTTGCCAAAAGCTAGCGATAATAATTACATTATGAGCGCTTATGAAATGCAGCAATTTGATATTTCGATATTTAACGCACGTACGCAAGCATTACACATACGCCATGTGTTTGTGCGAGCCAAATTAAGTAGTTTGGCAGCTGAACGTGGGGCCAACACTTGCCTTAGCTTTATGTCTATTACGCAACTCACAAATTGATCGCGTAGTGTGATAATGCGACAATTTTAATGTATGTAATTATTGTATAATTTCTTTTTATAATTTGATTGTCATTTGAATTTAATAATGGATAAATTGTTAAATTTGGCCAACTACCAAGCCCAACTGCTCACCATAAATTATTATTTATACATGGCACGTTTTAGTAGCAGTGAGATATTAAAAGTATCAATTGTATTTTATAAATCTTTTCTTTTCTTTTTGCATTCAAATGCCACACGAAATTCCTCCAATCAAACATATATCCAACATAATTTATTTTTGTATGTATAATTTCTTTTATTAGACATAGCTTTTGTGTTTCTCTCAAGTTTAAGCAACGACTTTAACATTCTGTAAGGCAACGGTATTTGTATATAAATTATGTTCATAGAAAAGTATTTTGTTACATTGTTGTTGCTTATTGTTGGCACAGGGAGTAAAATAATTTAATAATCTAAAATATTTTTTAGCTTATAACTCGAGAGTTCTGTGATAAGACATATTTTGTGTATTGGGTAAAATTCCATACTAAAACAAGAACACATATTAAGCATCCATTATTTATTCAACTTGTTATTCACTCGCTCACCGTCGTAAAAAATCGTTCGAAGGCACACACAAAACTGCGTCTCAGCAAATAAATAATTGCTTCTGCTTATCTGCAGTTTAAGCAAGCTGTGTTAGATTTCTATTAAAGATGCTGTTCGTGATGCAATAAAACCACCTAAGTCGCCGCATCGCACCGTAGCATCTACGTGGGCTTAGGTCTCGTTCCAAGACGTTCGTTCAACTTGACTCGTCGCACTCGCCCATTCAGAGTCAAAGAACTGTGGGCAACGCCTCAGAGACCGATGCTGAGCTGTTGAACACATTACAAGCTATCTTGGCACGTAACTTAGATTTGAAATATCGCCATCATTTTATAGTCGATGGGTGTGTTCCTAAGCAGCCCTCAAACTGTGGCATTAAAATTTAGATTTAGTGCTAATTGTCCGGCAACGTTTGCTTTGGTCGCGGTGGGCGTCATAAATACACAAAAAGTCAAACAAATGCTGCCTTATGGTTACCACAAAGAAAGTTTGAGTAATAAATATTTGTGCTTTTTTCCAAATTGTTTCGTCAAGATTGTTGACTTTAACCTGCAACGTGCAGCAAAGTCATGCTTTGGTTGATGTCTGAGCTGATGTTTGAGGCGTGCCGAAGACATAAGCCAACCAGCAACATATTCATTAGCAGCCCAAAACGATTCTTCTCTTCGTAAAGTGAAATGTTTATAGCAATACAAAATGAGCAAATATCTTTCCTAAACTAAAGACCATATGGGAGGTAGAGATTAAAATATTGTCTCATCATCCATGTTGAGAAAAATATTGATATAAACTAAACCTAAGCTCAATTTTCTAGATTTAACATGTAGCTATGATATTTTTTATGAAGAACGCAAAATGTTAAACATTTCTTATTTATTCTTTAGAATTCTACAAAATCGTAAGGAGAAAATTGCACAATACATTCCATGAGAATGTAAAAGCCCTTTTCGGATTTTAGATAGAGAGTGTAGAGGAATCCTAAGCCCTATTTGAAAATCAATATAAAATGGTTGTAGTAAATCACAAATCACCATATCATCCACAATCATAATAATTTATAAATGTGTGTTACATTACAAGAGATAGCCCAATTGAATACTCTTTAAAGTGGCGCTTGCTTTCGCGTTTTTTTTTTAACAAATGAGCCAGAATAAGTGGCAAAGTGGCGACAATGACATGGCTCAGCAAGCAGACTTTTTAGTATTTCTTTTATTTTTATTTTTAATTTTGTTTGTTTTAGGTCACAAGTGAAATTGAGGAATTTGCTGCGGTCATTTGACGTTGGATATTTAAAGACCAAAAGCGAGACCATGACGTATGCCACGTGAAATTTGTATTTGTTTTTTTTTTTTGTAGAATTTGGCGCGAGTCTCGTGCAATTAGATATGTTAATTTTCCAAGCAATGAATGCAATTTGAGGGCAATGTTACAGCCAAAGCCAAAGCCAGAGCCTACTACAGC